GATAATAGAATAGTTTGTTTTTATCCACTTAAGTAGAATTGTTATTCTTCAAATGGCAAAGTAATCTTGTTAAATTTCTTGATCATCTTGATTGGCTCGTCTACTGTCCTTGTAGTTTGATATTGCTTGTTTAAAAGAGATACATGGGGTTCTAATTGACAGGTTATTTTCAAAGAAAGACAGATAGAGTTCAATACCAAGATTTTTCATAACAACAGGAAATCGCAATAAGGTCAGGTGCATTTTTAATACATAGCATTAAGTAAATAGTTAAGTATTGTCTTATAGATAGACTAATGTGTCATGTTTTGATACAATTGTCAATAAAATAAATATATAATATTCCTGATGATGATTAACAATAATAAGATGAAAGAAAATGATGAGCACAGGAATGTGTCTCAGTTAGGAATTAATTGAAGGAAATAAGTAACTTTAGATTTTAACTGCTAGACTAGTGGACAGACTTTCAACCTGACATATAACATTCAGGAAAAAAGTGACTAGCATGTGACCAATAACCAGCATAATAATGCTATAAAGGATACAAACAAACAAACAAACAAACAAACAAACAAACAAACAAAAGTTCACATCCATAGCTATAAGTGAAAAATATTGTTTTGATTTTTCAACATATACATGGACTTGTTGTGGATCATCATTTCTGAATGCAGAAATAAATCCAGGTATAACCTTCATGTGAAAAGTCTCTCTATGACATATTGAATGCTCTTTATCATTCACCTCCTGAAGAATTATAACGATTCGTGTCTTTGCAATAAGCACTGACTTAATATCTTTGGAATAAGGTTGAATATAACCTTATAACAAAAATAAATCCAAACCCAACAGCAAAGGATGTAACAAACAATGATTTGATATAATTCGCAGTATTTTATTGTATTTGGTCTCAGCATGTTTGTTTCATCTGGTTGGCTTCTTTAATAAGGCACAGTATCTAATCATGGTGAAGCTGGAGTCCCACAGGGAGGGGCACTGAGAGCATGTATATCAGTGAACGCATCTATATACTCCACTTACAGCCTGTAGTGATCATATTAAAACAGTACATGGAAAAAAGGAAAAGTGACAAAGTCAGATTGATGAGTTTGGGATTGATGAGTTTAAAAAGGATAAAACAAGAGACTGGTAGGCTGCATTAAATAGTGGCAAAAACTCATGATATTTTCAAGAATTTCTCAGAGAATTCATTTCAATAAGATTCCACAGTGATTACAATTAGCCTCGGGCCTCAAGGTATTCTCTGAGATAAGGCAGTATATTAGAAGTCACCTGTATGCATACGCTATGATATCAGGATGATTTGAAGGTACTACACAGATAAGACTCAGTGGTACATTTCATATTGGAAAAGATTCACTAAGGATGTAATGTTACAATACAGTTACCTGGTCTAATGTTACAATTTATATCATCGTTACACAGTAACATTATACAGTCTGAATACTGAATTCATCAGGAAGGAAGGAAGGAAGACAGGATTAAAATCTCGAACAATAGGTGATAAGAGAAACAGGGGATACTTATCTGTTAGTTGGGTATCTTAATGATACATTCGTGGATCTTTGATATTAGACTAAAGAGGATAAAAACAGTTCTATGAAATGGGATATTTACCAATTTTAAGGTTGTCATTCAAAACTAAATTACATTACAACTAGATTATCTAAGCATTCCGCCTGTTCATGAATTGGATTTTTAGGGGTTTGATGCAGTTCTCAATGAGATACTTCATGAATTGGATTTTTGTCTGATTATCGATTGTACATACATATTACATGTAAGTATAAGCAGTAAGTTACTGCAGCCTGCATACAGACATTTGTCATATGATATTTATCAATAATTAAGATATCTGTAAGTACCCTTTAAACAGACTGAATTCGCATTTGTAAAATGAAGATTTATCTACTGTGGGTAGAGTTTCACTGATAGTCTCTGGGATTTAGGGTGATATGTAATTTGATTTGCAATGCACACATATATTTCAATTTTATTCATCTCAACTATTTTTTTATTGATAGAAAGATATGATGACTCAGTAATATCATTCTGATATTCAAATCAACTGGCCCGCAGAAATGACGTTATTAGTATTATTACAACTGTTAGTATCCAGGGCTGAAATAGCAAAAATTATACGAATTGAACGATATCTCATTTCCCAGGGAAAATTGCGGGGCATTAATGCATTATTGCCCAGCCACAATGACGTCACATATTGCTCAGGTGGATATAGTAAAATAAATGCCTTCTAAACTAGCACTAATACCCCTAGAACAGGCCCAGCAAGGTGGTAATATAATAATATAGGATAAGGCACCACAATAGAAAGCCAGGATCTCTCATAATGATTCAGTTTACACAGATATGGGGTCGGAGACTGAAATCTGAAATTATTTCTGGGTAATTATTTCAAGATATGGAAGTTGGATGTTGTCATTTTTAGTCCCGAGTTTAAGTTGCTTTGTCTTTTTTTATCACTACATGTATTATCGTTTTATCACTAATTTTGATAAAAGTGATATTCCACACCTAAATATTATGATACTATTGCTTCGCAGAATATACGTTGTGGCCTAGAGGTACTACTGGTACTACCATAAAGAATGCGCATTCATGTTATATTGAAAGTGTTGCCATATGTTCTAATGCTAATCTACATCTGAAAAGCATATAATAAGTTCATTATGATAAGATAGGACTACACACAGGTGGGAGGGACAGGAATTAGTCAGCACTAACATGTCAACATATGTTCTACAGGTGTAGCAATGAAGAAGGATCAACATATCTGTATATAATATACACATGCTCTGATTTTGCTACCCATTCCTCTTGTCTTGCACTAAGCCCTTATAAACCCCCCCCCCCCCTGCACTTACATGATAACCTTCTACACAATTCTTCTGGTTAGGGAAATAGTTAATGAGTGAGGGAAGGCATAGACTTGGTACAATACATATTACTACCATTACTCCCCAAAGAAATTATTGGTCTCAGTATGTTCAGATTAGACAGGTTTTGTGTACTGTATACTGTTTGTCAGTCTTCGATGCTATTGTTTGATAGAAGAAAGTATGTGTAAGCAAAACAACAAGTTGTATAGTTCCTCTAGGTGTCAAATGTAATATTACTGACTGTAAATTCACTATATGGAATAAACAGTAGATAATTTTCTTAAAACAGTAGATAATTATTTTAAAACAGTAGATAATTATCTTAAAACAGTAGATAATTAGGATGATTTTTAGTAGATATAATTATGAATCATGGGGTACTAAACCCTGATAAACAATTAACTCTGCTTGGTTCTGTGACTTATTATACTGAACATCATATGCAGTGGAGATCAATATTGTATTTAGGATACAGTCTTATATCATAGTACCCCCTGACACATTTTTTCGCCTACTTTGATGTGTTATAGAAAAATTTTTTTATAATATCTTTGATTTTTCGTTTTTATGGTATTTCTCATACTTTGCAAGAAAGGTTATGAAGGGGTGATAGAAGCAGGGCCAAAGCCTTACTTTGATGACAACTGTTTCACATCAATCTGATCAGTCCCGCTTTCTCTCTGTTGTTGAAGTATAAAAGTGAGGGGGTCCAAATTCAAGGCCATACATATACGAGATATAGTATAGTATAGTACTATCCTCACAATACCTCTTCACATTAATTAAGGGTCTATTGTTTCTAATGGTCCCCAGATGACATTTATTTGTGAATGATGTATAATACATAGTGGTATCAGTTTAATTAATTGGTTATCTGTTATATCATTACATAGCTAATATTTAGATTATTACTCAACATTCATGTTCATAAGTAAGTTGTACCTACATGTTACACATTACACATAGGTTACAGAAGTACTACATGTTTAATGTGGGCACTGTCCAAATTGTTTTCATCTTGTATCTAATTTGTTTGTTCGTTCGTTTGTTTTCATTTTTACGATGTTAGCAAATTATTCTCAGCTTTACTATTCCTAATATCAGCTAAAAATGATTTATTTCAATTTTTTAAGAAGAACCCATACTTAAATCCATAGTAGATTCGGACTCATTTGGGTCAAATCGGGTTACCATAGCAACCATATACTAAATATTGGCACTAGTAAATGAAGATAGTTCTTTTCCTAATAAGTCTGGGTTACCATAGCAACCATATACTAAATATTGGCACTAGTAAATAAAGAGAGTTCTTTTCCTAATAAGTCTGGGTTACCATAGCAACCATATACTAAATATTGGCACTAGTAAATAAAGAGAGTTATTTTCCTAATAAGTTCGGGTTAACATAGCAACCATATACTAAATATTGGCACAAGTAAATGAAGATAGTTCTTTTCTTAATAAGTCTGGGTTACCATAGCAACCATATACTAAATATTGGCACTAGTAAATATAAAAGAGAGTTCTTTTCCTAATAAGTAACAATATGCCACACAATTTATAGACATTTCCTATTGATGTCTACTTAGCTCTCCCTCAGTATCTATTTCCCTCGTGTGTTTGTGTAGTTTTGCTTCAAGACAAAGGACCTCCCCCTTATGTCAACGACACACTACTTGTAGCTCACAAGGGCTTGTAGCTAGACTTGTGTTTGAGAAATTGTTAGAGAGAGCGACAGGGGCTTCTAACAGTACTGTTAAATTTGAAATTCCAGTGGCAACAGTCTCACATAATTGATGTCATAGTAGATTTTGATGATATAAAAGGTCTTAAACTCTGATAAACTAGTTGAAAGCCAAAGTGCAACTTAACCCAAGAGTAGTAATTATTACCTCATCATAGCCCCGAGAGTTTTTCTTTTTTCAAAATATTTTCTACTGACAATTGTTAGTTTAAGATAAGGAAGTTCAACAACAGCTTTGGGCTATAGAGCATGTATATATGCAACTGTATGCAATAGTACAAGAGTTACACTGCATTATGCATAGGACTTAATTCATTTCATTGTAATTCCAGGTACTTCAACGTGACATAGAATCGCACTCAAAGATTGTCTCGGCAGTTCTGAAGCTCTGTGAGAGACTCCAGTTGAACGAGACAGCGTGCGAGAACACGTCTGAGAGAGAATCGCTACAACTGGTAGCTGTGAACTTAGAGAGACGTTGGCACGCCATCTGGCTTCAGTCATTAGAGTGGCAGTGTCGGCTAGAGGAGGCAATCACTCAAAGGAAGGTAAGGACAGTTTTTTCCAAATATGTTTTTTTGGATGCTGAACATTTTGCAGCCATTATTGTTTCAATGGACTCATGTTGGTTTGACATTTACATAAGTAAAAAAGAAATATGTGTTCCATCAATATACAAACTGCATCGATATGTACTTTTATTCGTTCAACTATTTTCGCTGACATTTATTATTGACTTATGCATTTCTGATGTTTGTAATTGAGCTTTACTCTAGTTACACACTGAATGATGTTTTTATTTGAAAATGTGTTAACTTTAAGAACTCATCTCCTGGCAACACAAAAGTTCTGATATTACAGGTACATAAAAACTTCAAGGTAAATATATAAATCTTGATTGCTGTGTGTTTTAAGTTTATAAACTCCAAGTGAAATTTTCTTTTCTTAACAAGTGGCTTTTTATGTCAGCAAGAATCTGTTTTTATTCAGATTAATGGATCTTCCCAGATTCGATTTTAATCTTTGGATAAAATTGTAAATTGACAATCAAAACATAGAATTATAACAGTATTAGATACAAAATTGCAAACAAAACATAATTTCAAAGTGTGAATATGAGTTGATACGTGACCCATCAGTCGCTTTTGAAAAAATCTTAGAGCCACTTCTAATAGGTTTCAAATGAAATAGTTAGGAAGGTATTGCAATCAGCGAAATGAAATTTTTAAATGCAAATCTGAGGTAAATGGGATGAATAAGTTGCATTTGAGATGACACTCAAAATAGGATTTCATATGAAATAGCTAGGTAGATTAACTTAAAGTGATCTCTAAAAGGATTCCATATAAGATAACTAGGTATTGAGTAACAGGTCACTCTGTTCTTATCCGCAAATTGATTTCCTGCTGAAAGGATGGATACAATTAAAGCCTAGAGAATAAGGATGTATGCTTCACTGATCATTTCAACATTCGAAGAATTTCTTAGTTGGACCATGAAGGATGTGAGCTAACATTAGCCAAACATGAATAATTGTTTTTACATTTTTGTTGTTGTCTGTTTGGGCTCTAATGTGCCTTGAAGCATGTTCTTCAGTGATGCATAACAGTTTAGGGATATGTTAACTTACTGGTAAGTCAAGCGTGAGATAAAGTTATAAAGTGCAGTTTATTGAAATATGTACTTCATTGTAGACAAGGAAAGTTTGTACTTTGTGAAGTTGATTTTCATTGTTGAATACTGTCTTGTAGCAATGTTACTAATCAATTCGGTACTTATCACAATCAGTGCCATTTCTATAGGTATACACCCTGTAGTTTCTAGCTTTTAAAAGAAACTTTTCTAGATATTGCTATGATGTTCAAGAATATTTGAATTAAAATATAAAAAATGGCAGTTATCACTAAGTGGCATATGATTATGATGTATGTACTAAATCAGGCCACTAGACTTGATAAGCACAACAGCATACACAATTGAATGTGTGAGTACTAGAAGTCAATTTACATAGGCACCACCTACAAGACTCTTTATCCATTACAATACATCTTATATTCTTTAATAACGTTGACCTGTTGACTTTCTGTGGATAACTGGGCTATTTAGGATCAGTAAGGATAAGTTGGAACTTCTGTTAGAGCCAGTATAGGTAAGTGCAATGTTCTTTAGGATTTTCTGTCAACTCAGTGAAAATAAAAAACATGTGACAATTAAAAAATATATTTTGATTTGATAATATATAAGAAATACCATGAGCTGGTTAAATATTGCTCAGTTTTGTATGACTTTTCATTTAAAATTGGAGTGAGGTGATTTTCAATTTGTGTTTCAATGTTTGATGACCTGATTGTGGAAAATGTACGGAAAGATACTTAAGTTGATTATACTTTTAATTGTGCTTGGGCTTTAATTGCATGTGGCCAATAGCAAAAAAAATAGAATGATTAAAACTGAATCAGAATTAATAGCTTTCCTAGGTCAAATGAACCTTTTTTGTTTGATCCGAATTCAATATTTGTGGAGCATACACAAAATGTATTGATCCAGGTTGAACACTGAATCCTAATAATGATTTGGAGAACATAAGAATGTAAATGTCTGCGTGTAAATGACATCTTTGATGTAGAGACCCATGACAAACCAGTCAGATTTCATGCAGAACTTGGTCAAATTAGTGCAGTGTGCAGTTTTTGGCTCATTTATCTCACCATGGTTCACCACAAATGTTGACATATTGTTATAGGTTTTATCTTTTTATTTTTATGGTGACAGTTGTTGTTCGGTGGTTGGTGTTCAGTGGTATCTGTAACAAATGGCAGGTGGTGACATTTTGCATCTTAATGCCTTGTGTGCTTGGCAATGGAATTAGAAAAGTGGGAAAGATTCAGTAATGTAGCGATTAAATGAGTATTACTTCAAATTAGTAGCACCTATCTGGATTCTTCAGAAAATACAGAAAGATTTTATGGTTCCTTTGAGAATTTCTACATCATGAGTTTATGAGAAGACAGATTGTAGGAGGTGGAAATAAGTAGAATAAAATTCCAATGAAGAAAGGTTCAAAAGTACATTTAGACACTAATAATGGGGTAAAAAGGTTACATGTATTATGGGTCAAATTAGTACAGCAACATTACCATAATATTCTTAGCTATGAAAATTCCTATACTGTACCTACTATTGTATCCATGGAAATCATAATGTCATATTCAGAAAACAGTAATCTTAACAAACTCTTGTATGGTGATATACCTCAAATTAGTAATAATACCTCGTCTATCTTAACATGATCTGGAAAAATTCAGCTTGACCAAATTATCTTTATTTCTATATGTAAATACAATTAATAAACAAAGCTAAAAGTATATTTATGTGAGATGAATCAAATATTAAACCAATGTGATGTCTAGATTTGTCTGGAAAGGTGAAATAAATTAGTGAAAATCAAACCCTGATCTCTGCATTTGAGGTTTCATCAAAAGATCAAATTCAGAGAATGTCTGTTGGAAGTGTTAGAATTAATGAAGTCTTGCAAGATCTTCAATTTGTTCAAGATTGAAGGTTATCTCCATCAGTTACCATGACAACGGTGCATTTAAGTCAACAATTTCATCTTGTACCTGTACCTATGATACATAAACTGCCTTTTTATATCTGAGACTGAAGACAAGCTTAACTGAATTGAAAAACACTAATGCCCGTAAACGTAGTTTTACACTCCATATGACATTAAATAGATGATTGGTGGTCACTAGAGTAAGCACAAGAGTCCAAGTGACATTGATCTCACACTTCAGCTATCAGTAGTATAGAAAACAGCATAATCTCAAATGAATACTATCCTGTTTAATAATCTTCAATATTGAATCAAAGTACGGATCATATTATAGAGGGGTAGTTTAAACTATAGCAGAATACATGCACCAAGACCCCCTACCCTAAAATTGGATTATCCCTTTAATCTTAAACCATAAGTTGTCCAGTTTAGCAGAGATTTACTTAATCTAATCAGCCATGTTTGAACACAGTGAGGTTGAAATATTTCAACAAGTGCTTTTTATATAATGTGACATATGTGATCTTTCAAATAAACATACACCAGGAAAATATGAGTGCGTGTGCATGGTTAAATAAAATGTTGTGTTTTCAAAGGAGTAAAGTTACATCCTGTTCGAAAGTTGGATATTAGTTCACAAAGCAACGTGAAATGGATACACAGTATAAAATAAGGGAGGCTTTACTTAATAGAATCATGTCGTAATGTACCGAAACTTTCATTTTAGATAACATTATACTCTGTTTCGGGCCAGATCAATTCAATAAATAATATACCAGATGAAATATTAGATGGGATTATTAAAAGAGAGTAAAAATGATATTTACTAACCAATTATATTAACATATTCTTTTTCCTGAATTTGGATAAGTTTTTGGAAGTTCAAACAAGAACTGTGTTAATATCTTCACAGTTATAATATTGTGAACTTGGAAAGTTTACATCATTGCCCTGAAGGTGAGTTTGTCATGAACATGATTGATGGTTGTGAGAAATCAATTGGGTCATTATTATCATGTCATTTATTTGTGTTATATTCAGACTGTAATCATGACATTTACAATTGAACTTCAGTCTCAATATATTTAGTTTGAAAATTATTTTTAAGGTCATGTTATGTGGATAGAGTTGGGGTAACAGTAATGATCCTTTGATTGATGATGTACATAGACTGACAAAGTGAGCCTGGTCGTTTTACTATATCAACATATCACAGTGATCTCCCCAGGATTTAATCTCAAGTGGATGCAAAATTCTGAATCTCAAAATTTAAACCAAATTTGGTCAAAATATGGCTAATTTTCATGAATTTTCTCATTTTCAAGTGGGTGCAAATAGATTTTCAGGTGGGTGCAAACCTGTTTTTAAAATCTCAGATGGGTGCTGCGCCCACTAGCTTTAATGCTAGGGAGATCACTGTATCAATTGATTTCTGTATGCACGTATAACAACAACATATTAAAGGAATAACAAGTTGGTACTATTAAAGATATGAGATAATGGTACCTGTTACACTGCTGGGTTGAGTCTAACGAAGCATTTTTGTAACGAAGGTTAGCGAAAAAATTGTGTCCACACTGGCTTTATCCAACCCAAACGAAGCAATTATTTGGTGTTACACTGCACTTAAAATGCTTCGTTGCGCGTGCGCATTACTCATCTGCCCCATCCACTTATTATGATTAATATTTTTATTCTTTTGATATAAACCATTGATCAAACTCAAAAAATCTAATTTTTAATCTTTATTTTAATAAGTCAGCACAGAAAAAGACTAGTTCAAAATTCTCGGGGAAATAAAACAAGATTAATGTGATCATTCCGTACACATGTCCATACATTTTTCCTATCATTTCGATTTTTATATATTTCAGCTGTCAATACGATTACAAGTATTGTTTTCATTTTCTATCATTTCCTTTGGAAAACATATAGTGGAATAAAAATAGGCCTATGTTAATTACTAGGAGGAATTGGATTTGGGGTTTATACAGACGACTAGTATGTAATATCGTATGAAAACGTTCAATTTCTAAATGGACTTCTCAGTTATATTTCAAATAGTGTAGCCATTACTAAAATATCTCGGTGATCGGCTGGTGGTTTAACTCACGCGGTCCTAACTTCGATCGTTAATTTGAATTTTCGACCTATCAGATGCTTGAAAATCAAGGATTGCGAGTCTCATACTGCACCGTTTTTCTTCAAACCTATACCATTAAAAGCAAAACAAAATTGCCTTTCTGTCGATGCATTACTTTATTGTAAAGAGTCCCTCGTTCTAGCAGCGTTTTGGTCCCCAGCTGTTAGAAGGCCTTCTTACAGCTGGGGACCAAAATGCCACTGGAAGTAGGGACTCTGTTTCAGAGAATAATGTACCATCAGAAAGGGATTTTTGTTATGCTTTGAATGGAACAAGTTTGAAGAAAAACGGTGCAGTATGAGACTCGTAATCCTTGATTTTCAAACATCCGGTAGGTCAAAAATTTAAATTAACGGTCGAAGTTAGGACCGCGTGTAACTACTATTTCATGACCAATTCATTTTAATATGAATATTACCCATCTCGCCAATACTCCATGCATATTTGAGTGAGTTTGACATAAATTAGTATGTTAATCCATCAGCCGTCCGTTGAATTCGAAAATGGCGCAAATAGGAAGAAACTTGAATACCAGTTGTAAGCATCGTCTTACGACACATCAATAGTGTTTGGGGCTGGCCTAAAACATGCAGCCTCTCTGTGGCAAATATCTGTCGACAAGAAACAATTTTGGCCACCGTTCCTTGTCCGCAGGTTTTATCGTATTTGTATACGGAAGTTTTGAAACGTAATTAATTCAATATATTTCAACATGAAGTTTAAATTCAATTACAATTAAAAATCGTCGAAGAATAAATAATGGAACGACTAGTACAAGTACATGTATTGCAATGGAGCGATAGCCAGTTGAATACGATTTCTGAAGAGAGACATTTTCGAATCAATCAAATCGGCTATATTCCCTGATGTGATTCACCGGCCGGGTTCACCGGGAAGCAATTGTATCAGTATCATGGATTAACACCTTTAGAATTACATTCAAGGTATAATTATTCGAGGCGCAAGAAAAAATTATATTAAACATGTATGCCACAACTTTCTATTTAGTTTAAGCATATCTTATGTAATTTCAAATTTACCCTTCCACACTTGAGACGGAGTTTTCCGAAAGAGGGACATTTAAATATTCTACATATGAGGTTTATTCTCTATAGATCAGATAAACGTTTCAAAACTATATACGGTAAAACCTGCGTTTTTAGTTTAATACTTTTTGTCATATCAATGCGAGGAAAGGCAGGGAATCGAATGAAATGCTACGAAAGACGGTAAATCACATTTGCACGTGGCGTTTAGGGCTTGAGTTAGCGTCAATCAGTGACGCAAATAGGTAATTATTTTAATCAAAACGTAGCATTATAATAATACGTACTTAAAAACATGTTCTTTCCTCGCGATTCCTCTCATTTAATACAAAATGATGAATGTGCTCTTTATTACGCGCATGCGCAAACCGCCAACTAAGCATTTTCTAACGAAGCTACCTGTTACACAGGCCAAAAAAGCTTCGTTGGGAGCTAACCTTCGTTGAATTTTCTACTCAATTGCTTCGTTATCAACTAAGCTTTTCCAACGAAGGCGGAGGTGTTACACTGGCCCAAAATTGCTTCGTTACGAAGCTTTTTGTCAAATTGCTTCGTAACGAAGCATTTCAACTGGCCTGTGTAACAGGGGTCAATGATGCATATGATTCTGATGCATACTTTGTGACACAATTCCATGTCATTACAGAAAAAAATGATAACACGTTTTATGATGATGACTACACTTGGTATTTCAATAAGTTGTAAAAGTTACTATTTTTGACTGTCTGTAACATTTAAAATGTAAAATATATCTTTGTTTAAACTGTTGGCTCTCTTGTGTATTGATAGTGTAACATTATTCTTGTAACAGTTATCTCATTCTTGACTTTGGTAATCTTAGATTCTGTTTCATTCAGGCTGTCAGTTGTACATACATGATAACACAATGGGGTTGTTTGTCTTCTAAAGTTAGCTCCATTTTTATAGATTTCTAATACAGTGTATATATTTCACAGTCTTCAACTTTCATCATATTGATTATTAGAAACCAACCACATGCTTTGTTCAAATTTCTTGAGATAATATCGTGAAATAACTAGCCTGATTGGGTTGATATTTACTGTTAAACGATGTAGGAGAAATTAACACTATTAAGTGAAATATCTACTATTACATGAAATATCTACTATTACATGTGTACATTGATGTAAAGGAATATCTGGAGTTTCTACTTGCCAATACAATATGATAGATATTACCGCAATTATGTGGCCTTCAGTCTTCATTATCAACCTCTCTACCAAGTTCTGCTTGCTTTAGAAAGCCTGAGGAAGTAATTAAAAGGTCAAGGACATCTGTACTGAACTCACGTGGCAGAAAATACAAATGTACATTGAACTAAAAGAATACAGATCTTAATACTATGACTGTATAGATGAAGATAGCAGGTCTATATGGGACATCTTTATATGAAGTGTATAAACGATACAAATATGTCTCTCACGGATATCTTTTTAATAGGAGAGTTATATACAAGATACAACTCAAAAAATATGTCAGGCCATTTAATTTTGCAAGGATATTGGATATTAACAAAAAGGTAATGTAGGTTTTAATTTTCTTAAGTGACAGGTGATCATTTATGGCAATGGGAATTATGTTCCTTTAAGTAGATGAAATATGGAGATGTTTTTTTTGAGTTTGTTCCAGGATTCAGGTACAAGACAAATTTATTTACATCCTTATGACTCTGTCCTGAAACCTGAGGCGATATTAAGTATTTTTCATTATCATGTTATTTTGTCATCTGTGTTCTCTTAAAAAATATTCATCAGGTACTTTTATGGGAGTCATGCTCTTGGGCATCATGCATCAGTTGAATACTTTCTTCTTCTGTATTATTAATTTAATCCAACTTATTATAGTATGTACAAAACATAGGCAATCAACAGCACCAAAAAGAAAGTGAAATCACTAGATTTCCAGGTTGTAATGATTAAGGCCATGATGATCCGAAAATATACAGTGAAGTATATAATCTCAGCCATCTATATCATTGGTCTAACCAAAATATATTTTCATGTAACGGCTATATTAGATGATGATACACATGTACATGTATACATCATGTAGAGCCATAAAGCTTCCGTGAAGATTCTAGGTCTGGAAATCAATGATAGCTGATTACGCAGATAATTGAATAGTTTAGTCGGAAACTTGCATTGATTATTGCATACAGACCAAGTGCTTTACACTAAAAGACCTCTACGGATTGAGGTTGAATCAAGAATCGTGAAACCCATAAACTATTATAATTATTATATACATTAGTTACATTTATTGTAAATAAAAACAACCAACGAGAAAGGGGGCAATCTGTGCTAGGTTCACTTTATTCTTGTTCAGTTTTTCGCATGTACAGTAAAACCTGTCCGATGGAATACCTCTCTGTAGGGAAAACCTATGAACAAGGAATGCTTTTCAAAAGAACCAAATATTTTTCCATTGACTTACATGTTAACAGACCCTCTCTGTAGGGAAAACCTGTGAACAGGGAACAAGGAACACTATTTTGGGGCAAATTATGAAAATTCACATGTGAACAAGGAATTTGGAATATTGGTGACACTGTATATTCCATTGTTTTTCAGAGGTGTGAAAGTCTTAAGCCAATATCTGATTCTAAAAAGCCTGTCATCTCACCCACTGTTAATTACCCTGATATTTTTTAAAACTAATACTAATCTGTTTGTTACTTATTATCATGACACTAATTCTTCCTTTCAACAAACCTAATTACATCTAATCAGTTGTGATAATCTAGGGACTGACACAAAATAAAACAAACCTGGTACATATTTTCCCTAGTGGCCAATTGACTATTACCATATTATCCACAGTACCCATTATGATAAACCATGAAATCTCATTTCTGACATCATGGTTCTGGTACAACAAAAAGATGTGTTAAATATCAGAATAGCCCTTTCAGGTTCATAATATAATGATCCTTGTGGAGGATTCATAATTTGCCATCGCCTGAACGGAATATCTGTGTTTCTGAGGAGCTTTAGAAACAAACAGAATCTCTCTGGCATTGAGCCAGTCCCAGGAAAAACTGATCAATGAATGGCACAAACAGAAAGAGCAATAAATCTCAACAAATGCGTTCATGGTATCTTTAAAAGACAAAGAGAGTATCACAAAAGACTCAAAGTGTCAAAGTGTGCCATGTTTGAAAACCTGCATTATGTCATGTAAGGTATGGTTCTCCTTTCTCTTCTTTATGGACTAACTCTGTTGTAACACTCATCATTCTTGACCCGGTCTATTGAATCCCTGTGTTTTGATTGGTGGATTTATGTCATGTGATATGACTAAAGCATCATGGGTTGGATCTCTCTGTGATATCACCAAAGCTTCTCTGTTTCAAGGTAATGAAGGACATTCACTTAAAAAGGTACAGATTTGAAGGAGGTATGAATCAAAAAACAATTGATTTAGATTTAATTCAACTAAAAATAGTATAGTGTTCCAGAGGCTTTCGCGAACTTGATCATAACACATCGATTACAATTAGTTACAATAATTACAAATAGAAAAAATAAATGAAGAACTAGGATATTTCCAAACAATAATGTTGACCATGAAAAAGTGAATGAACATTTTAGAAAAAAAACAAAAACAATGGCAGATGTTGGTTCACTATAGGACCAAGCCTTGAGGTAAATTATTTTAATTATTTGGAATAAATAAAGCCAAGAAATTATTCTAGGCATTAGTTTTTTGTTAATTAGTATTCTTGGTTTTTTTTCCCCATTGACCTTGCGTGGTGCCATTTTTAGCACCCTCTGTTTCTAGTTAGTGCTATATATCAGATTGATTTTTTTATCATATAGTTAAACTGATACCTCAGGTCAAAAGTTGGAAAACAATACAGTTCTTTGTTATTGTGTCACTATACAATAAACTAGAGGAACAATTTGCTAAATAATTATTATTGATATTCAAATATATAAACAATTAACCTAATGTGAATATAATAAAATACTGTATTTTCTATTACACATAGTGTGACAATAAATATTATTTTTTTGTTTTTGTGATGAATTATTGAACATGCTGCCACTTCATTTCATCTGCACAATCAATTAGTTTGTTGCGTTCAAATCAGCAAGATAGTCACAAAATAGCAGATATATTCTGAATGGTATCATGGTGATGCAGAAATTGTGATTGTTAATTTCAATTTCATTTAGAGACGCCTATTTATTAATTAATGGCATTAAAGTGGACCATTGCCAGATTTTGAGTCATCAGGTTCAACGACACTTACTCCTGCGTTAAATCCCTTTGTTATGCCAATACCACAAGGGATGATAGATTATCTCCGACTTTTTTGTGGACAGTGTTCGGTATTTGGTGTTTGGCATTTTGTGTCTGTAACAAATGGCAGGTGGTGGTATTTTGCATGTTAATGCATGTGTACTCATTATGACACACCAAAGAAAGGTCCTGTTCTTAAGTAGAGTACAAACTGGTCAAACAAAATGGTTGGATCCCTTGCATTCTATTTGTCCTTAACCCATGTACTCATTTATGGTAATACACTGTAACTATACTGTAACGACACTGTAACGTGTATGTTTATTTATAGATATCAACGTAAAACATGATAGAGCAGAATATTTGTAGAGTAGTTGTCAACTGATAAAATAACTAAACAGAGCTCTTTCAATTTCTGTTATCTCATGAATGACAAACATCAGGTACTCTATAACTAGATATGACATTTTAAATTGCACTTTATTATATTCAGTAAGGCGCAAAGTCACAAACCCAGCCATTTCGGGTAATTCTGGCCTTGTTTAACATATATATGTAGTAGTATTTATAGGTGTGCATTTGCATGAGCAGAAAAGTTTTACAAAGTGTGTTGTCTCAAATAGTGACATCATGATTTCCATGGTAACAACAATGTACTTAGGAATTTCCGTAACTAAGAATGTTCTCATAATATGTCAGTTCTGTATGAGCTATTTTTAGTTCTGTGCACAAGTTTGTTTATGATATTGTATATTTTACAACTCTTTTTAAGTTGGTGACAATAAACTAGTTTATGAAGGTCTATTCTAAGTGGTCATAAGATCAGTTATCTTCAACATTTATCACAAGATCTTCTTTCATTTTAATAGTTCTCAAGTTGTTTTCCAATGTTGCCTTTTGAGCTTGTTTAATTATGTTTGTCTGACAATAAGTTACATACACATGTTCTATAGGATCTTCAATAATACCATTTATTAATGTTATAATTACCAGTTAAGGGGCAGGTTTTTTATATGAAAATACTTTATCATATGGAGGAAATATTCTATGAACAAGTACAATTTACAATGTAATAGAACATATATTTCTTAGGTTGATAGCTTTGTTTTGAAATGCAAAACAAAATGTTTTGGAGATGAGGGATCGTCACAAGTCAGAAAAAACCATATTAATAATCCAAACTTATTCATTTAGAATATGTCAAGATAGTAACTGTTGCCTTTGACAATATAAAGTATTCAATCTCAGATCGAAGGTCAACATTTTGTGAGAGTTTAGATTGGTTGCTATGGCGATCAGGTAAAACTCATCATAATTCTTTTTTACGATATTATGGAGTACCTGCATATTTGTTTACTACTAGACGAGGGATACATATGGAAGTAAGTGATCGAATTCAAGTGAAGGAGAATTTGTGATCGCTTTGATGTTAGATAAAACAGGATTATAGCGGGATTATTATCTCCGCTGTGTTTGATTTGATTCATTATGTTATTAAAACTCAATGATCACACAGTGGTGGGGTTATCTGGTTTAATATATTATACAGGAGATCTGATTATTAGTACAAAAATATGATACAAAAACAAATATTTTAGTGTCTCCAGGCATGGACAAAAACAGTCGCACATAAATCTGATACAGATGTTGTTATAATCTCATTAAAGTCATTTATTACAAGCCATTATTAAAAAAGTATTTAAAATGAAATATGAAATTGTTTCTTTGATGTTCAATCATAAAAACAATAGCCGTGATATTAAATTGTTAACTCATGTCGCACTAAGGATCAATTTCAGCATTTATAAGTAGATTATCAACCACAAGTGTCGTGGATTGTGCCTTAACTAAATAGGAAATTATCGCGGAATTATCGATAAAATGAAAATTATTATTTCAACACCTGTTAGGTCACTGGGTCTGTGATTTCACAATTATGAGATTATTCATGATTTAAAGAATCAATTTGAGTCTGATAGTGCCAGTTCTAGCTATAAATATATTAATATAAATTTTCTTATTTTGAGAGTAATCTAGTGATTTAAATTGGCCTTATTTTTGTCACTTATTAATACTTGAAGGATATCTTTTGATAAAGTCTCATATTACCAAATGCTAATTAGAACTCTAGGAATAGAAAGTCACAGCAACCAGCAGGTTGAGAGTTTTATGATGGAAAATCATGTTTAATGTCACGTCATGTTCGTGTCCCAGAATTCATTGCCTTTGGTCACGTCCCTTTAATCACGTTTCTTAAGATGTATACCTGCATTGATATTTTCATATTATTTTACATGTAAAGAATCACAAAAAACATTATTCCAATTTTTCATATTTATATTAACTGAAATATATATTTATTGAAATATTTCCCATAAATTAATAGTTTTGTACATGATGCACCCCAGGTGTATCCGTATATGGATGTACAGAGTTAAGTGCTCTTCAATGGTCATCCATAGTTTCATGTGAACTGACCTTTACTCTATTGGTGGCTTAAAGGAATATAATGACCATACTCCGTGCTATATTTTTATTAACTTTTACTCCTATGATCTGTGAAAGGTTATGATATCCTTGCTAGGCTTTATAAGTCAGACAAGAATACGGATTTAATAGATTTTGCTTGATTGTGACCTACTGATATTTCTGTATTCAAAAGTGTTCATTCAAAGGACTCGCATTCAATTCAGAAAAAATTAAAATCGGTTATTATAATACAGAAAGGTCAATACATATTGACAAAAAACGTATAAGAAAAGTTAAAAGCATGATGCACAGGTATGTGAAGGTATTGTCAACACAATAGACGACCTGCATTGAAGAATATTTCATTTTGTAAACGCATATTAAATATTATTGATATAAAGTGAGCAATGTATTGATATATTGTGCTATTTATTTGCAGACTGTATTAACAGGAAGTAACTTCCGTACAAGCGAGGGCAGTGGCTCTAATTGGAGTGACTTCAGCTACAACACTGCACACTCTGATCTCCCACGGCCTGAACCCCGCGATGTCACTAGACAAGCACAGTATGACGACTATAACGAGTCACCATACAGCAGTGATGAGTACGGTGATGTAATCCCATTTGATGAACACGAATACGAAAAGATTGAAGATGATTCAGAGAACGAGCCAAATGAGTTAGTTGAGGAGTACAGCAAAGAGCTACAGGATAAACTACAGGCACTTGAAGATAACATAAAAGATGAACAAGACTACATGGACATTGATAATGTTGATGTCACTGCAGCCCTGAGTGACTCCGACTACAGCTTTGAAACAGCAAACTGTAAAGAACACAACAATTCTAATCTCCAAGAAGATGAATACACGAAATTGAAGCCACGGAATTCAAGTGGAAAGCTAGGATCTCTATCTGCAATGGAGAGCCGTTTGGTGGCTAAAAATGCCCAGAAATACGGAGTAAAGGTTGAAAGCCATGATATTGGTTACTCCAGTGAGAGTCACTCCAACGACGAGCAACATGAAGCTATGAAGTCGGGTGCCAGCATTGACACCAGCCATGTGGATAAATCAAGTGTGAAGCTACGGCAGAAAACCTCACATAGTAGGGATGTATCAATGGATGAGATGAATGATACCAGCTTGACTAATGTGTCAAGTTTACCCGAGTCGTCATGGAGACACTCTATGACATCAGCGTATGACACAAGTAGTGATCACAACTCACCAACAGATGATGATGAGCATAAAACTGTGGAGGAAGACAGCGCTGTCGAGAAATCAGGTCCTAAAAGTATACCTAAATCTGGTGATAAGGATTACTACAAGATGACCTCAGTAGATGTTGATGCCACCTGTGGTCTTCTCTCCCAGTCCCCACCCACTCATGATGTGGGCCTTACACCATATAAGGCACAACCCTTCCAGATTCCAAACCTAGGGGAATCCCCTGGGGTAGATGTAGCTACCTATCAGGAATCTGGAAAAGTTGAACAGATTGCACGGCGCTTAGATTTTGGTGCCATGGATACAAGTGACGTCACAGATGGTAAAGAAACAATAGGTGAGGAAGAAGGTATGGGGAAGGAAGGGTCTGGAACATCAGACTCTCTGTCTGTACAAGTCGACTCTGATGCTCTACAGAGAGAAGATGGATTCATATCAGATGATTTCCTCATGGAAGAACAGGTAGATGCACCACCAAGATCTCCAAATAAGGAAGCAATAAAGCGGCTGATCAAGCAAGCGGAACTTCTGGTGATGGATGATGAACAAGTGCATAAATCTATCACATTTTTACACAGTCGGGAATCAACTAACCCAGATCTTAGACCTCCTAAATGTAAATCCCCAGACTTGTCCTCTTCAAAGAGTTCTCCACGTGATCTCCCCACTGACTCCTTAGCAAGTACACTCAGCACTGAGGGCTCTATGTTAGGTGAAGCCAGTGCGTGTGAGGCAAGTGGGGAATACACAAGTAATTCTGAAGCGGAGTATTACTCCACAGCTTCCAGTGATGAAGAGCAGTATAACAGTGTTCTTAGGATGTCAACAAGTCACAGTAGCGACCTGCTAAGTAGCGGACACAACAGCCAATCAAATCTCGGCTCACCAGTCAAACAAAGAAATCGTCCATCAAGTGTGACCGAAATGTACGAATTGACAAATAGATTGGATCTCTCCCCGTTCTCTATATCAGAGAGTGCCATTGACAATATCCCCCGAGAGAGAGGAAGCAAAAGTAGTAGTGCCGCAAGCAGTCGTGATAGACTCAGTAGGACAAACTCTGAGCGATCCACACACAGTCTCAGAGTCGGAACACCAACTAGAAAACTCAGGAATAAATCACGGAAATTAAAGCGCTCCATTTCAGAAGCAGAACAAAACAGTGACATCACAAAGTCCCACGATTCTCTAGGATCGGCAGAAATATTTGAGAATGCAGAAACTGCACCTTGTTCACCTCCAGAAGCCACTCTGTCTCTCCCAGGAAATTGCCAAGAACTGAATACTGGTGCCTTCTCAAGTAAATATAGCTCAAATTCAAGGGAAACATTAACCAACTCACAGAACATTGCCCAGTGTTATACATCATCTGATGCATATAATGGCGCTAGGCCTAAAACTAGTATACCAAGTCACATCAGTCAACGACGCAAGAAAAAGAGCAGGTCTAAAAGGCGGAATGGATCTGGAAGTTCAGGCAGTGAAAGCGGATCTGATGTTGAACATGTACCAGGTAATGTAGATTAATATAGCAATATAAATAATAATTTATTTTTACTTCCATAGTAGTGACGTTGATATGTTGCATTGAAGCACACTTGTAGTTGACTTCTTTCTAACATGATAATGATTTATAGATAGATGCTTCGATTAAATTTCCTTATCCTGCTAAAAAGTCCAAGCAGCTTGGGAACTATTTATGAATTATTGACTTCTGAGGATTGCCATATGACTATTCAAACTAATCAATATTCAAGCAAACGACCTCTTTAGTCAACGTATGTGACAAAATGTAATGGTGCCATGATGTTTTTTTTTCCTTTACATTTGTAGATGTTAAAGTTGCTAGTAGTGCTGATAATACAGATGACCTCATCAACAGCACAGTGGAATCCTTCTCTGAAGAGGCATGGGACAACTATCAGGTAGGTTCATTTGAACTTGCTGTACACTGTAGGGGGGGGGTGGTTCTTGTCATAATGAAGAATTATTTCTGATGTATACCTTCCAAGGTTTACATTTTAATTGGTTGCCCATGTTGGAGCTATTGCTTATTTGTGGACACCACAGAAAATGTCAGTTTTTCCTACCATTGTGTTCCTGCAATGCTCTGCTAGATTGTATATTGTCCCATATATGGTCCCATTACAGCACAATGGTCTCATATATGGTCCCATTACAGCACAATGGTCCCATATATGGTCCCATTACAGCACAATGGATCCTGGCACCTGGGCTTTTCTAAATTTTGTCCCATATATTCATTCTGTACATACTGGCATATCTTTGCTCATATGTCTGGAGTAGAGGGAAGGTTCCACATGATTTATCAATTGAATTTGTTTACTTTCCTAGCACCGTTTTTTGGAGGGATGATTATGATTTCCAGCTCTGTCTTTGCCTTTCTAATCAACCAATTTCATGAACTTCAATGAAAATATATTCATTTCTTTTCTTCTGTTCTGTATACATTAATCTTAAAAATTAAAGATGGTGCTATAGTCCATACAATTTTTCTGAAAAGAATATGAATAGGAAGAACAGGCTTGTTACAGTCACTTTATATAATTGTAAAAAGGGTTTACAATAGACGTTTTGTAAATCATTCTTTTTCATGCTTTAGATGTACTGTACATGTGTATGTTATGTATAGTAGCACTGTCGCTTCGTAGTCTAGTCTTGCATCAAGCCCCCGTTTCCCCCTACTCCTACTCTCATACTCGAGGCTGGTGAAACAGATAATGGGTGAACCTGATGCAAGACTATGTTAGATGTACAGGTCATATTTATTTCTCGCTTACTATGTTTTCTTTGCAACTAGATTGGGTACACAGCACTGAAATATTCAGTAAGTAATCTCGGTTAAGTGTATGCCTTTTTGTCTTGTTCATCTGCACTATACAGCTTCTAGCAGCATCTTTTATGGCTTATTCATCGTTCCCTTGATCAACATGTACATGTATAACAGCCTCAAAATGTGGTCTGGCCATTAAAATCCATGTACTTAATATGATGAGCAAAGAAGTCCCCCATAAAAATATAATGTCCAGGTCACATTTTGTAATTATTTTTACATGTATTACTAAATGTATTTTATTTTTATTTATTTTCAAGCTGCGCTTTCTATTTATTTTATAGAGTTGATTATTTAATATTTTCACTTATTTTGCATTGCTGCATTTTAGTTTCATATTATTAGTTGATAAAGCTAGCTTTTTAGGTTTCCTATGTTTATCTGTATTTTATTATATTATTTTGTGATCTTTACATGCATACTTTTTGATTATGAGTTCAGTTTTTGCTTTTATGTAGACATTGGCTTTAATATTATAAGTAACCTTTATTTTAGACGAGGAGTTGATATTTGTTTTTAACATTGTGTATAATGTTTGTTTATTCATTCAGTGTTCATTGGATTAATTATTCACATTAATTAATTAATTTATCATTTATTGTAGCGTGCATATTAATATTCTGTTGAAACCTCATACTAATAATATAATTTGAATGTTTTTTGTTTAAACATCACTTGAATTCGTGTTAAGAGTGCATGTATACATCACTTTATCACTCTACCCTACCATGTAACAACATTTAAAAGGGATACAGGCTACAGTGAAGTTTCAAATAGTCTAGAGTGGATATTCTCCATTTTTGTCAATAGGGCTTTTCTGGTAATAATACAAGTGCAAACTGATTGATGAATATATACAATGTATAGTAGAATACTTTGAACATATGTAAAATCTTGTACACCTTCAGAAACATGGATATAAACAAACATCCTCCATTTGCAACTTCACTGTAGCCTGTATCCCTTTTAAATGTGGTGATGTGGTAGAGTAGAGTGTTGATGTGCATGCATTGAAATAACAGCACGAGAGGTGGGTGGGAGTTGAGAAAATTTTTCTTATTACTTTCCCCGTATCTCTCAATATAAACAAATTTCATGAAACTAAATTGCTTTGAATTAAATAATCTTCATTTTTTCACCATAATGGCTTTGATTAATTTTATAACACATTTTTTTATTTTGAAGAATGATTCAAGTGAAAAAACAGGCTCATCGGAAACTTATTCTTTTTGATCACAAAATTAATTGTTTAATTCTGACTTCAGGCTCCTATGTACACTAGTGTAAGTGAAGACCCAAATGAAGAAAAATTAACAGATACAGCGTTACAGTGGGAACCCTCTGAATACGAGGAAGACTTTGATTTTAAATATGCTGCCAGTCTTGGAGGTAACAAGTCACCCCCAGAGATGAAGAAAAATAAAGAGAGAAAATACAAGGTAAGAATATTAATGCAGTTCGATGCACAATCATTAAAGTACATCAAATAGAGGTTATGCTCAGTTCATTATTATTACATCGGGTATCATCCATATTAGTCGATATGACCTCATTTTATTGTCTTGAGGCTATGAACTAGGACTGATGGCATGCGGCTTTATTTACATCATGGAACAGTAAAGCTTGTATTGTCTGAACACTATCCGAACTGATGTTCATTATTTGAAGGTATTCACTGTTCAAGTTTTTTTACCATGGAAGGGTATAGCGGATTAAAAAGTGAAACAAAAATTGTTCACTTTGAGAGATTTTTAGACAAAAAATGTATTTAGATATGCAGGTTTTACTGTACGAACAGAGATCATTAGGCAAACTACTCACTCCCATTTTAACTCCAGCTCTAAAGTAATTCAAATGCTATCTGACGTTTTGAAAAGTATGTAGAATATTTGATTGCCATATTGGCCTGTAATGAACAAACTTCTAACAGCACGTCTGAGTTCAGTTAATATTAGGTTCTCTGTCCTACTGAAATAATGTTATCAAGTCAAAAAACAATATTTGGACGTATTTCAACTTCTGGTTATCACTTGTACACATTTATCTGGAAAACATTCAAATGTCAACATGGGAAATAGAAACATTCAACATAGTCAAGTGGAATAAATGTAATGATTGGACATATCCGTAAAACTTATATTCAGATTGATGTTACATCCAAATATAAAATACAGAGATGAAATGATAACTATTTGGTTAAAACATGGATTCAGATTAAAGTGAACCAACCGTTATGTGGAGTAAAACAATGGATTAAAGTTGTTGGTAGATTTCAGGAAGCACTTAAAAAGAATTAAAATGTGAGATATTTTTATATATTGATTGTATTTTCAGTGTATAATGAGATTCTTTTAGTACAAACATTTTTATGTCACCACCACAAGTGGCGGTTGGTGTTTGAAGTTTGGCATTCAGTATCTGTAACAAATGGCAAGTGGTGACATTTTGCACGTTAATGCCTTGTATATTTATTAGGAACACATTAAATGATATATCCATTTTATTTTATGATTTTTGCCACTATTATTACTTGTTCAGATTAAGAGCTTTCGTATGTCATCATATAGTTCATTTAATGTCTCTAACCAACGATATCAAAAGCTTTCATAGAATAGAACATTTTTATCAATCCTTGCAATAGAATTACAGTTGTATTATATTATAGTATACAACTCAAATGTGTGTTTTGTGGCAGATGAGTTTGTTGTTGCGAATGATGTAATAATTCTGTAATCAATCCAAACTTGACATTTACTTTCCGTGTAATGTCTTCTAAATGTTCTAGCTGTACACAACCATACTGTAAGAACATATTGATCCGCTATTGCCACAAATCATTCTCAGCTTCCACATCTCATGTAAATGTATCCCTGCAGCCTGTAGCGCTAACAGCTTGAGGCGATTTTGCAGAGACATGTAGTGTTTAGTCTCCGATAGAACAATACCCAGTTTGAAGAATTACTTAAAAGTAGGGATTTGGAAGAAGAAGTTAGTCATCTATAGGCCTACACGTTCATATTCGATTTTGGACGTATTTTGGAATTAGCTAACAAATATGTGTCTCTGAGACATGAGGACTTAATACATGTTATATATAAAGCACATACATGTAGAACATACCAGTTGATTGTTCAACCAAATATGGATAACATGGCACATTATGAAGATGCCATCAGGATGATTGATTCTGACTCCAATACACAGATTAGTAACTTTCACGAAAGTGCTATAATGTATTAAAGATCATTTCGATTCTGGCTTCATACCATGGGCTGAACTCAATATGACCTTGAGGATGAATTGCTGTTTAATATACTTTATGCATCAAATATGGATTATTCATTGAACACATTCCAAATAGCAAAATGGCTGTTTATGTATTCAACATTGAACATGTACAGAGACATGTCTGCCAAAGGAAATACAGAAATTGTAAATTTTATGCATTCAGGCGTTATATAAAGTTTGTATTTGTATTTTATGCTTTCTTGCATAATTATTTGGCAGGCTCTTGAAAGGAGTTGTTTTAAGTATTTGTTTTGGATTTGCGATTTCATAATCAAAGTTCACTGCTCTCAGACTCAATTTTGCAAACATTTTATTCAAGTATTCATTTTGGATCATTCATTTTGAACCTAAAGACCCTCAAAGACTTTTCATTGTACTGCTGACCAAAATTGCGTCAAAATTTTGGTGAAATACTTGAATATAGTCAAGAAGCGCCAGGATTAGAAACATTCATTGAACATTCATTGATTTTACATTTATGTATTTCTAGGGACCAAAACCCTCACCAGGTGGCTTCACTGGTGATGTGAACAAAATGGAGGACTCTGATTCTGATATCGAGGATCTTCATCATGTGATCAAGGAATCGACTGATCAGATTCATGTTGCGGCTGCTGTTCTTAAGAAATATCGTAAAGATGTCATGGATACTGGGATCTACCTTGACCCATCTAAATATGTAAGTAATAATGTACATGTAAAACTATGAAAAGTGATTGGGAGTGATAAAAGCTTAGTGGGGCTTTTCTGATGCAAGTCACTTATATTAGTAGCAGTCTCAATCTGTACATAAATGAATTGTCCAAGATTTTAGTTGTTTTTAAGAAACACATTACATTTACTTAAGTTGATGTCTATCCAATATGAATTTGCAATTTATCAATCTTTGAATTAGATATGAGATGTTAGAGCTTCTACATAATTCATGATGTTGATATGTGTGCTGATACCCATATTACCAGTGTGTGAATTTATAAAAAAATATTTTTTCTCATTTGTCAGGCTGAAGTGGTTGCTACATGCCAAATGAACATCACATGCCTTGAGGTGATCAGTGACACATTGGAGTCAGACCAGGGCATGGCAAACCTCACTGAAGAAGACCTACAGCAAATGGAAGGTGAATATATTGACATTCGTACTATATCCCCTATCTAGAACTAAGTACATGATGAACTGAAATCATTAACTACAAAATATGGACAAGTCCCTATATTATGTTGACCGGGATATTACCTTTATGGAACTAAGCACATGATGAATTGAAACCACGAATATTGACCAGCTCTTATGTTAAACCTGATAATTTTGCAATTAGCGAGATCAATAGTGCAAGAAAACAGGCAAACAGTTCATTCATGGAACGAAGCATGAAACTTTCCACATATCATCAGAATACCATTCCCTTTGATTTAAGAGCCAGAGCCATTTTTGTGGTCCACTAGAATGGTCAAAAAATAGTAAGAACCCCCTCCCACTAAATCCCATGGGGGTGGGGAGATATAGGAATATTTTTTTCATAAACAAATTTCTTTGAATATGGTCATACTACTGTTTTAGTGTGCTATTTTCATGGTAAAGAAATTTTGCAAACATAACAAGCTGATTTGTCATTGATTTCCATCATTGTTAAAGACTAATCATGGGCGACGCCCACTTTTTGTACCTTGAACATTTAGGTTATTAAATCTCTATCATGGGTTGAACAAATGAATGTAATTCAGTTTTCTGGATAACACCAGATACCTTTTTGATGTTAGGTGCTATAATTAATCGTAGCATTTGACTTGTTAAAGGCTTTCACCATATCACAACCCTGTTTAGAAGAAGAAAGCAAGCAACAAATGTCCCAGATCTACAACATGTATCCACTATTCTATGTACATGTATGTCGAGTCTCTATTTTCTCCTGAAGAGAACCTATGCTACAGCTACAAATTTCCAGAATTTAGATGATGATGTGCTTAAACAGTTTGATGAATGGTGTGCTGGCCCAGTGCCTAAACAGTTTGATGAATGGTGTGCTGACCAACAGAATGTACCAGTACCAGTGAACATTTAGGCTATTTAACCTCTTTCATGGTTTGAACCGGAACCAGAAGGGCCGCCACAGTCACAGCCTGCAGACTCTAAATTCTAAAGAGAGCCTATACTACATACACAGCTGTCCAGAATCTAGATAATGAAGTGATAAACAGTTTGATGAATGGTGTGCTGACCAACAAAATGTACCAGTCTTTAAGTTTTGGTTTCAGATTATTTGAATTGAAATACTGTGCCTTAACTAAGTGTGGGCTATCAGAGAGGGAAATTTCCCTCTTTATCTCCAGTCAATGAGCAATCTTATCACCTGTTTTTTTGTTTTGTTTTTGACCTTGACAATATGTTTGCTGAGTACCAGTTCAGTATACCATCAGAACTCAAAGTTCAAAAATGGATAGCTTTTGGAAAAGTAAAAAATTAGAGATATCTCACTTCCCATGAAATTGCAGCTGCCCTTCGACATGGTAGGACTATGTGTCTCATCCCACCATAAGAACATCCCACCATAAGTTGCATAAGTTGGTTCAAGACAATTATACCTATGTCAGTCCTCGCTTCACCCTCACAATTGAGTTGGGAATCCATTACCACAAAGGCTGGGAAAATAATTTGGGTGCCAGTGTGGAAAACATTGCCCAAGCTCCAGATGCATGCCAAATGCTAGTAAAATGCAGCTGCAAACAACAGTGCTGAACAAAAAGATGCAAGTGCTTTTTTGTCATTCTAGTGAACCACAAAAATGGCTCTGGCTCTTAAATCAAAGGGAATGGTGTCCTGATGATATCTGAAAAATTGCAAGTGTGGAGGAGAGTATTTTTTTGTTGATTTTTTTTTGAATATGATCTATATTCATTTTTAGTATGTTATTTTCAGTGTATAAAAACAATTTTCAAGATTGGATCCTATTTCTCATGGATATTCATTATTAAAGCCTGACCAAGGGCGACGCCCACTTTATCAACATGTTAATATACAAGTTAATGAGTCTTCTATTATGAATAGGAAAATTACCTAATAAGGCTGAATAAAATTGATAAGATTAAGTCAGTTATTTATGTTAAGATGATAAATTCTTTAAGTAAGTCAATTAAAAGGCCACATCCCTTTTAGATATAAAGATATAATAATATATAATTCATAATTAATGATACATTATTTTGGCTTTTAATGAGAGCACTTTGACTAATTGATACAAGTTACCTTATTAGGTATCTTAACTGCAGTTCAAATATCATATTTTGTGCATTTAAGCACTTCAACACTCTATTATCATTATCACTGAGCTATGTGTCATGTCCATTACAATCCCTGCATTTTACTAGCGTTTGGCTTGCATCTGAAGCTTGGGGCAATGTTTTCTACACTGGCACCCAAATCATTTTCCCAGCCTTTGCTGGTGTAGTGTCTGAACCTGTGGGAGCATGAGATAAGGGGAGAACATAGTCCTACCATGTCAAAGGGCAGCTGCAATTTCATGGGAAGTGAGATATTTCTAATTTTTTTCCAAAAGCTATCCATTTTTGAACTTTGAGTTCTGATGATATACTGAACTGGTACTCAGCAAGCATATTGATAAGGTCAAAAAACGAAAAACCAGGTGACAAGCTTGATAATTGACTGGAGATAAAGAGGGAAATTTCCCTCTCTAATAGCCTACACTTAGTTAAGGCACAGTATTTCGATTCAAATAATCTGAAACCAAAACTTAAAGACTGGTACATTCTGTTGGTCAGCACACCTTTCATCAAACTGTTTATCACTTCATTATCTAGATTCTGGACAGCTGTATATGTAGTATAGGCTCTCTTGAGAATTTAGAGACTGCAGGCTGTGACTGTGGCGGCCCTTCTGGTTCCGGTTCAAACCATGAAAGAGGTTTAATAGCCTAAATTCAGCATATGAAAAGTGGGCGTCACCCATGACTAGTCTTTAACAACTATGAAAATCAAAGAGAAACCATCTGGAAATAAAGAGGAAAATTCTCCTGTCCTATAGCCCTCACATAGTCAAGGCACAGTATTTCAATTTGAATAAACAGAAACCAAAGCTTGAAGACTGGTACATTCTGTTCACGGCATTCATCAAACTGTTTAGGCACTTGGTTAGCACACCATTCATCAAACTGTTTAAGCACATCATCATCTAAATTCTGGACAGTTGTGTCTGTAGCATAGGTTCTCTTCAGGAGAGTATAAAGACTCATACATGTACATAGAATAGTGGATACATGTTGTAGATCTGGGACATTTGTTGCTTGCTTTCTTCTTCTAAACAGGGTTGTGATATGGTGTAAGCCTTTAAAAAGTCAAATGCAAAGATTGATTATAGCACCTTACATCAAAAAGGTATCTGGTGCTATCCAGAAAACTGAATTACATTTATTTGTTCAACCCATGATAGAGATTTAATAACCTAAATGTTCAAGGTATGAAAAGTGGGCGTCGCCCATGATTAGTCTTTAACAATGATGAAAATCGATGATAAATCATCTTGTTATGATTGCAAAATTTCTTTACCATGAAAATACCACTCTTAAACTGTAGTATGACCATATTCAAAGAATTTTTTTATGAAAAAAATATTTCGATATCTCCCCACCCCCATGGGATTTGGTGGGAGGGGGTACTTACTATTTTTTGATCATTCTAGTGGACCACAAAAATGGCTCTGGCTCTTAAATCAAAGGGAATGGTATTCTGATGATATGTGGAAAGTTTCACGCTTCGTTCCCTGAATGAACTATTTTTGCACTATTGATCTCGCTAAATTGCAATCTCTGTAAAAGAGGAATTATTTTGTGAAAACTAATTTTAAAATGCGCCATCTTTCTTTGGTTACAGACACTCTAGCTGAGTGGGACTCTCTTCACAGTTTAGGCTTAGAGCGCCAAGCACAGTCACGTGATCTTCTCGCCATCTATAAACAGTTTGTGACATTATCACAGACGCTGGCAGAATACCAAGATGAACTGGGCAATGATGTGTTTGAAGATGTTTCCAAATTAGAGTCTGCAGTAAAACATTTACAGGTAATTGGAGCAATTTGTTATAAGTTAGATACAATATATTATATATGTGCATCGGATTTTCTGGAAATGATAATGAATGTTTAGTGATGCTATGTGCCAATTTTGGTGTTTTATGAGATAGGGCTCTTTTTTATTATTTGTTGATCACTCCTTGTACATGTACAAAAAAAAATAAAAAATATGTACCAATGTTGCAGCAAATCTGCAGGTTTTTGTGGCTGTCTGGATATTACTTCATATTAAATAACGCAATCATCCTTCTTTCTGTTCACCCATCATTCCATTCATCCATCAACAATTTTCAGACAAATGAAAACTGCTAGAGCCAATGTACATTATCCATTACATGGTGGCCCATCCTGGAAATCTACACAATTGATACCAAGTCCTACTTTTGTCTCATTAGCATTTTCTATGTGAGAAAATGGAATGGTGATATTTTTATCGCTCCCTCGGGTGCTATATTGTCATCAGTGTGCCGGTCGGGCAGTCAATCGTGTAGGCGTCCCAATCTTGTCTACAGGTTTTCAGCAAAACCATTTGAGAGATTCATCTGAAATTTTCAAGGATGTTTCTATGTATGAAAGACTTCAAAATAACATTTTTATATCAGTCAATAGAAAAATAGATAGGACAACTTAGATACGTCAAAGTCTAATATTTGTTTAGCACTCAACTTGATCAAATTGAAAAAATTGGGCGTGTATTTCAATACAAACAGTGAATTGATAGTTAAAAGAGCAACATTTCAATTTTATTTCAAGTTTTGTATGAGCTGTCAACACTTCAAAAGCCCATTCAAGGTGAAAATTCATCAAACAAAACAACCCACCTATTTTACATATAGCTGTTTTACCTTGGCAATATAAACAATCTACAAGTGACCTTTGACCTTACGCCCTCAAGTTTTTTGGCTCATAAAAACTAACTGAACAGCATGTTTTTTAAAGCTTAGTAAACAACATTTAGGTTAACATGCCTGTAGAACTGTATTAGTGGATACATGTTAAATGTGGCTAAAGGTAGAAAGTTACTAACGAGGATATTGCAAAATAGCTCTATAGGTACAGTAGGTAGGTTTTTGTATGATTTACATTTAATAAATTAGATAAATATGAGTATGTAGTATTATAAAGTTTAGCTTTTTTTATTTTACAAGTATGGTACAGGATCCTTAGGTGGGCCAGGCAGGATGATTAACCTGGGTGATACTATTATTATAATCAGTCAAAAGTCATTGTACCAGGCCTTCCTTAATGTTTGGGTTCTGGAAAGATTTATATCACCAGTTGGCATAGTTTATCATAACTCACTTTCAAATGTATCATAGTTGCATTATTCCTGTTCACAGAAGGAAAGCCCCAGGGTCCTCATTGATTAATAGTCATTGTAATAAACAGCACTTATAAACAAGTATAGCTGGTATAGCTGGATCCGTACTGAATTTTAGATTGAAAAATCAAAATTAATTTAGAACAAATGTTGTTTGTTTTGAGATGCTCCATTCTCCGAATGCAGGGTTCCAAATACCATCACCTGTGTTCTCGCTTTTCCATTTGGAGAATGGGATGGTTTCATGTCATGTCATTCATTTGCAAAATACTGTTATCATTTGATGCAGAGAGTTAAAATGCTAGTCATTGCCAAGGTTAGGAATATTTTGGCAGCTGTTTGAAGGTTCACACTTTCCCATTTTCATTTGTTTCATGTTTAAAAGTGAGGTTTAGATGACCTTATGATTAGGTGGAAGTAAGGCGAACTTGAGGTAAAGGCTTACAGTATTCGGTTAATCTGTTCTGGGCTACTGTAGTTCTACTGATTTGGCAGCCGTTTTGTGTAAGTCCGCCAAATTAAGTAGCCACCAAATTCAATATTTCATATTTCAATCTTAAATATGTGTAGTATATACATTTCAATATTGCAAATCCGCCAAATTAAGTAGCCGCCAAATGTTCAAAATAGCAATTCTGCCAAATAAGTAGCACCAAATGAAGTAGAAGTACAGTATTTGTTATCACTGAGCTTTATCATCAGACATACCATAGAGGTATATAAAAATATGAAATGTATCCATGGACATACTTTCTGCAAATTCTGCCATTTGAAATGTGAAAAATATGAACCATTTAATTATCATTAATTAGAATTATGAGAACAAATGAAAACTTGCATCATGCAAAACTACCACATGGAGCATTTGAAACACATGCAATCCAATACTGCATTTCTGCATATTTTACATGACATTTGATCAATGTACATAATCATCAGCAGATTTGTACAATTTTTCAAGGCTGACATTTTGAGTTAACAATATTCAGGTATTTCTGGCAACTCTTCTTGTAGGTCAATGCATGGGGCCTTTTTGTTGCGATTACAATAGGAATTCTGGCCTACATTCACTCTATATTTTTATTATGAATTATAAAAATAGAGCTTTGTAAATCCTGGTTAAATATTTTGATTGAAATATTATAATGCCAACATTCCTGAATGTCTTAAATCAATAAGATATTCTAAAACATTTATTGAGAAAATATTACTTTGTTTGAAAACAAAACAAGTTTGAAGTGAAAAAGGTCAACTCAACCTTGTATCAACCTGAGATTGACGTACTTATAAACAGGCACCCTTATTCTCCAACAAGTGGTCACAAATTGTTATTGTCTCTAACTTTTTTATGGATGGTGTGTGGCATCTGTAACAGTGTTTGGCATAACATTCAATGGCATTCAATTGTCACAATCTGTAACAAATGGCAGGTTATGACATTTTCCATGTTATTGCCTTGTTATGTTGATACACTGTTTCTATGTAATTGTATGAGTAATGTGAAATAAAATGAATATCAACTACTTTAAGGCAGAAAACGTAATGATGTGATTTCCTGATTACATATTTTATTGTCTCTAATGAAAGAGAATAGAAGTTGATCTTTCAGAAAGAGTATTAAACATGCTATTCCATGTGTTACAGAACAACAGACTTGATGTACAACCCCTGAGAGATGACCTGGAAAGAGTAAAGAATGAGATAGCCAGCTATGCTAGGCAGAACCAACACATAAGCATGACAAAGTTCCAAGAGGAAACCATGACTCTCTCTGACCAAGTTGAAGAAGTGGCTGACAGGTAAATACATGTGTTATGGATATATATGGATTTAGGGGAATAACTCAAAGATGGAAATGCTGTGTTTTAAATTAGTACAGTGTGAAGTTAATTTTAACTCAGCATAAACACAATTCATTAAAACTTGCGTAAGTAGAACACCTTTGGTACCTCAATATAGTGTTCGATTTGGGAGGTGTTCTTTGTACAGAGGTTCATTTTTGTATTAAGTAATGGTAACAGGAATAGTCTTCCACTTAGAATTGTTTCACATACAGGTGTTCCACTTTACAGGTTTTCCTGTATTTGGCTCAGTATATCAGAACGGTCACATTGTATAATTGTTAAATCCCTTTGAATATGATCTGGCAATATGTTTGGAATGAAATACTGGACATTTTGGCATCCATTTCATGTTTGGAATTCACCTTGAAAACATAACGTTAAATCTATGCTGATTGAATTCGGTCATTCACACATGAGATTTTGATAAACTGGCAAGGAATGTACTGCAAAAACACTAAATTGATGGATTAACATTTTATTGTAAGGTCGAGCAAGAAGATCGATGAGTTCAAGTCTACCTTGATCACATGGTACGACCATGACGAGACCATGGAGGAGCTTAAGTATTTACTTCATCGAGAGGAAGGACAGCTACAGTGTCTAGAGCTCACTCATGACGTCATTGACTTCACTGAGCAGGATATCAAGGATACTCTCTATGATCTGAAGGTAAACATTCATAAGTAAGGTCAAACAGACACAGAAATTTGTTTAATGCATCAAAATAGTGATTTACCAGAGAAACAGACCTTTCGAATTGATTTGATATATTGACATGTTTTTGATTCTGAAATATCCATAGGGAAATATATAATATCTAGGGAGTCAGAGGAAGAGAGGGACCTGTGGACTGCAGGAAATTAGTGTCTTGGTACCTGAATAAAATTGGTTGCACAGTGGTTTCATTTTAACCGGCTGAGGGTTGTTTATTTAGATATTGGAGGCTCACTTTTGTCATTTTCATTTAGTATAGAGGGAGCTAGTAGTGTAATAAAAATAAGAAGGAAGCTCAATCGACATTTTTCACAACCAATTGATAGATGTCACTTGAGTAGTTATTCTCTGATATAAATGTCTGCATCAGAATTAATTTCTATTTCTAGAGATAAAATCAATCTTCTGTGAATCCCATAAATAAGTGTCATCTTGTTGATTCATCATGATAACTGAGCCTCTAATTATCTCCTGATGTTTGTCACAGATTGTGCAGGTCAAAGGTCACATAGATCTGCCTCTGAGCCAATGAATCTTTATGATTCCCAGGTCAAAGGTCAATTTTCAATATGTCATTGGGGGGCAAGGGGTCGAGTTAAAGCTGGGTTGAGACAGGATGTTACAGCTAAAGGGCCATGGTGTAATAAGGATGGGGGACACAATATTGATGTTATTGAATTGTTTTGGGAATCTCTGACTCATCTGTCTGTCCATCATAACTATTTTGGCAAATGGAAATTCCATTCCGCTTTTTCACCTTGTGACCTCATTGAATGGTGCAATTTTTTAGGAAATGTACCAAAACTTCACTGACTACATGTCCTGTCTTTGTTATACTGTTAAATGAAGTCCATGATTGAAAGAGTCATAAAGAAAGTCTAAGGTGAAAAACTTGGCAAAAGTTAAGATCAATCGATAAATTGTTCACTAATTTCAGATTACAGTATTTATAATGCAAAATGGATGTATGACAATTACAGATGGACCAATGTTAATGATCTAGCCATGGATGATTATCTTAAAGTCCTCTTACATATATATCTGTTTATCCTCTTCCTCTGTAGACATGATATTAATAGTGTCAATGAATATAAGACAGAATACATGGTCAATCATACCCTGAATCACATTCAGCTAGTCAACCTACCCTCTTAGTGCTACAGATGATTTTGATGTTTTGGTGCTTATCTTACAGTCTCAAATGAAGCACTCATTGTGTAAGCTATTTATAAGCAAAATTTTAAGGTTATTTTATGTCATATTAATCATATTTACAATCCATTATGTAGAATATGTAGAAAAAATAAGCAGAAAATGTATCATCATGGTTCTCCCTATTGTATATTATTTAAGCATTATCTCTCATATAAAGAGGATAGATGAGGTTTGGTTCTTGCGAAGGGTTCAATAGAAATGTAGTTATAACTTAGAGGTTAATAAGGTATACAGGGTTCAACTCAGCTCTTTTCCGGCTGGTAATTCTATCAGATAATTAGGCTGAAAATTCATTGTGCCATATTGGGTGATAATGTTGTGAAATTGCATTAGCATAATGATGAGCACTTTAAATTGGTTGGTCAAATAGGGAGTAAATAATATGTCTCACGGTGATCCATCTAATTTCCCAAGCTGGAGGCTTCCGTTTATAAAATTAAATTGTTTTATTGCCTCGTGGAGTAGTTTTGAAAAAAATGTCTAGAATTAGAGTTTATATGAATATGAAAAATGTTTAAGGCATTGATGCGTGATTTTCATTATTTCCAACCGGTTTGTACAAAACGTGAACATTTTGGAAATAGACAAATCATTTCAGGCTGTTATCTTTGAAAAATTGTTCCTCTTAAATTAGGAATATTAATAGTGCATGCGTAAGTTATCAGAAAATCATCTTCATCGTGAAAGTTTGTATTTAACTCTCTTGGGGACGCCTGTTCAATATTTCATAGAAATGAACATCAGAGACACTGATGCTATTCTTAATATTCCACGGTTGACGGATTAGTTTAACCTCTGCCTTTATTGATATCGCTCCACTAATATTGTAAGATTGCCACATTATTCACAACGGCAATATGTCAGACATCAATGATAAAAAATCTTACTGTGATGCCTTATAACCTTACGTCCCTTTAAACAGAATTAACAATATTACTCCCTATTATAAACCAATGAAATGAATCCCTTTATATTAATTTTGAGTTCATGACATGTATGTACCATATAGGAGCTGTTCATTTAAGTTAACATTTTACTTTTAAAATTATGAGTTTATGTCTTATGATAAAAGGGAATTTTCGGTATCGTGAACATTTTTTGGTTTTGCTCAGATTGTGCCAGCGATGATGTGCAGCGTGAGGACATATAATATAATAGGACATCTAGTCTGAATAATGACACTGATTATCATATCATATTGGAATAATCACGTTTGATTTATTTTTCCAGGGGATGAAATCTGACTTGGACAAATATGATGACAAACTAGAAAATCTTCGCAATATATCAGCTGACATTTGTAAAATTGCTGACACGGAGCGAAAAAATGAAATACGTGCTAATATCGGGACAACTGCCAATGAATTAGCCAGTTTAAAACTCCGATGTGAACGATTAGAGGCTGCGTTTGAAGAGAGACTTAACACCGGTGACTTCAAATCAGATGGGGCATCACAGCTTGAATTAATCCAGCCTGAAACAAGTAAAGTTGCTATGGAGACAACTACAGTTGCTAAGGCAACAGAGGACGATTCTAGTCAGGATAGTGGGATGGATTCCCAGGAAGGTGCCACCACAGAGACAGATGGGTTGGCTGTTGATGCCACTCTAATGTCTATTGATGAGACTGATGCCACTGTTGTGGCTGAAGCTACTGATGCAAGTGGGGCTAGTGGTGTGACTGGTGCAACTAAGGAGAACACAACACAAACAGAACTGAAGCAGTGCTTAGAGACAGAAGACCAGGCCAGGTAAGAACAAATGGGCGCTGGTTAAAAGAAATTACTTCATTTTCTTAATTTACATATATTACCATATAGTTTAGCAGATTATGACTGTCATAACCTTGATATTTGCAATTGTTCAAACCCTCAAAACATTAATCTGATTTTTCATGAAATATATAGAACACCCAATTTTTGTTACTGCTTTGTTTAGCAGACAACAAGGTCTGTTTTTGCCATCATTTCACATCTATACTCATGTAAGTTCTTTTGATTGTTTCCAGTGCCCATGTGGAGGGAAGGTCTTGGGTGAAGAGAATACTAAGGGCCGCCCGTCCTGTCCAAGTCATGATTGTAGCAGTGTTTCTAGCTGCATGTATACTGGACCCAAGAGTCAATGATGCAACAAAAGACTTGGGCATCATACTTAATCCTGAGTTGAGATATGTGAAAGGCCCACCCCCTTTCTAAGCTGAGATATGTGAAAGGTCTGACCCAATTCAAAGCTGAGATATGTGAAAAAACTGACCCCATTCAAAGCTGAGATATGTGAAAGAACTGACCCCATTCTAAGCTGAGATATGTGAAAGGTCTGACCCCATTCTAAGCTGATATGTGAAAGGTCTGACCCCATTCTAAGCTGATATGTGAAAGGTCTGACCCCATTCTAAGCTGAGATATGTGAAAGGTCTGACCCCATTCAAAGCTGAGATATGTGAAAGGTCTGACCCCATTCTAAGCTGATATGTGAAAGGTCTGACCCCATTCTAACTGAGATATGTGAAAGGTCTGACCCCATTCTAAGCTGAGATATGTGAAAGGTCTGACCCCATTCTAAGCTGAGGTATGTGAAAGGTCTGACCCCATTCTAAGCTGAGATATGTGAAAGGTCTGACCCCATTCTAAGCTGAGATGTGTAAAAGGTCTGAGATATGCGAAAAACTGCCCTTATTCTTAGATGTACCAATACATCTTGATATGTAAAAAATAGATCTAAATATGGTGCAAATATTCATTTTTTCTTACTTGGAATAGGGCCACATGTTATCCATCAATATATATATATGCATGTAAATATTTCACATTTTGAGGCATATGAGCAGTGTGTGCCATAGGGACTGCAGACCCACTTGTGAAAATTGAAAAATGGAACAGTTATCATGTTCTTTTCATATACAAATTACATGGAAGTATTCATTTGGTAAAGATCAAAACAAGATGAATGCACGCCCCTAGGCTGGTACACACTGTATAGTTAGATTGGTTGCATAGGACGGTTAAGCGAAAATCATAAAGGTGCTATAATAGAATATGCCCATATATGGCCATATTCTAACGTTCAAGACTTTCCTAATAAGTCACTTTGTGCATGTTGTGAGGATAAACACGTCATGTGATATGAAATGTTCATCTTAACTTTATATGCAAACATGTCAAAAAACACTAAAACCTGATCTGTGAAATAATAACTTATTTAAGAATTTGCACAGTTTAGCATCGTGGTAAGCCATGTCTTCTCCAACTCTGTCCTTCTTGACATCTGTGATACAACAGCGATGCTATGAGTATCAGAATGACCATTTCATATAAGATAAATATGTTACTGTATAAACCACTAATGCTGTGGTCATGTTTGCTCCGCTCTTCAACACTGGCACCTGCCAAGTGAGTATTTTGTTCAAAAGTGAATGCAATTTTGAACAAAATACTCATCCATCAGGTCCCAGTACTGAAAATCTGAGCAAATGTGACCATGGCATTATTCTAGCACTGCATACATGTGGTCACTAGTCCAAAATTATGAACATGTGTATACAAGTGTCTGGATTGTAATTAAACCATATAACATTGTACATATTGAGACATTGTTCATGAGAAACCATGGAAATGAGATGATCTGATATAACTACAGGTACCTTGCCATAGAGTCTTCCTATAATACTATTTTCTTATGTAATAATATTCTAGAGTATATTACAGATTTTTCATGAAGTAATCTGAGGTATTTCTTAAGTATGTCACAATTTTCCAAAGGGAATATTGAAAATGAATATGTCACAATTCTCAATAGGAATATGAGACAATTTTCAATAGGAATATGTCACAGTTCTCGATAGGGACATGTCACAATTCTCAATATGAATATGTCACAATTCTCATTGAGAATGTGTCACAGTTATGTTGGAAAATAATTTTCCTGTGAAATATGTAATTTTCCCAGGAAAGTGCCATAATTTTAAAGGAGATGTCACATTGTTTTGATGATGCAACATTTATTTTCTGAAGAAACATGCTTCTGATTATGATTATGTCTCTAGAGGGTTAAGAAAATGTGTTCTTTCATAATATGAGAAAAAAGAAATTATGCATTTGCCTTTAACAGATTATTTTTTAGTAACTACACTCAGGGGAAACATCCATAATAGTTAATACAGAGATAAATGAATGCTCAATATAACTACTTGCAGATCATGGAAATACAGTTGTAGGCATATTGATAGACTTGAGGGGAGGGGGTTATACAGTTGTTGGCTCATTGACAGACTTGAGGGGAGGGGGTAATACAGTTGTAGGCTCATTGACAGAATTGAGGGGAGGGGGTAATACAGTTTTAGGCTCATTGACAGACTTGAGGGGAGGGGGTGATACAGTTGTAGGCTCATTGACAGACTTGAGGGGAGGGGGTTATACAGTTGTTGGCTCATTGACAGACTTGAGGGGAGGGGGTAATACAGTTGTAGGCTCATTGACAGAATTGAGGGGAGGGGGTAATACAGTTTTAGGCTCATTGACAGACTTGAGGGGAGGGGGTAATACAGGTGTAGGCTCATTGACAGACTTGAGGGGAGGGGGTAATACAGGTGTAGGCTCATTGACAGACTTGAGGGGAGGGGGTAAAGGGATCAGAGATCAAAAATGTTCACCTCCATCCCCTCTCTTGTCGTGATTGTCTGTTCTTGCCACTTAAATCAGGAAACGTAATTCAGGATTTTGGCTAAAGGTTCATGTTGAGAACTGAGGTCACTTTTCTATATGATCCTACAAAAAGGGATCTTACAGAAAACTGGACCTTGTGTCTTGAAAAATTGGCCTAGCTGCACGTTTGACTGCACCAGACAAAAGGTCAAATATAACATTAAATCATAGTGAAATTAACTAAAATTTGTTCAATACATATTCTTACCAAAAAAACAACTTGAGTTTTTATTTCAAGAAAATGATTTGATTTCATGTCTACATTTGTGTGACAATATGGTATTGACAGTTGATTTATATCTTAGGCAAATTATACACCAATGAAAAATGTCTAGTCCTTTTAAGAAATGATGAATAAAATACAAAGTACTTTTCAGAGAAGCTACAAATTAGGTCTTTCAAATTGTTTGAAATTATTGATGATCTGTCCTTTGACTGGTGCATTTGAGGTGATTGCTTGGCTGCTGTAACATGATTTTTTGAAAATCACCAAATAAGTTTTTAAACTTATTTGGTGATTTTACGAAAATATGTCAGGTGCAATTTGTAGAATTTAAATTCATGAATATCATGAATAATAATATATTATTGAATCAAACTTTGTATATATGTATTTTAACGCTTTTGTATGAACATATACACTTTGCATGTATTTATACTATCATTCACATACAATGTACTTGATCAACATTTAACTGCGATTATACAGTCCAGTCAATTCAAAGTAATTTGTGCATCATGATTAATGATTAATGAAATAGGGTTGTCAGTTGCCAAGGTGACCTGAACAAGTCAGGGAATACTAAAAAATGCCCAAATGGCCAGTTTTTATGATTTTGAGAAAAGGTTCAAGTGATTGAAAAGTAGGAAATAAAACTATTAGCTTAAATTGAAAAATACTGAAATTGAAACAATACTGAAATTGAAACAATACTGAAACAACCCTAGAATTGACAATATTTTGGAAGCCCTGTGAAATGACACACTTGGGGTGATTCAAAAGTATGGACAGAATTACACATACAGTATGTAAAGTTGACTGGACTGTACATTCATAGTATTGTTGAATGTATATCAAATATATGGCTACAATACCCTCATGGTGTAGAATGGAGATATGATGCTTCCTTATTTTTGCCGCAGTTTCATAACTTCAGTCAAATAGAATTTTCATTTTTTGTTTATAGTTGTTGCTGTTTTTTTATTGAGTACTAGCATGGTGTGACACTTTCATGATGTGACACTTGTATGATGTGACACCTACACAATGACACAAACATTATTGATGTGACACATCATGAAGAAACAAATGTGATGCATAAGTGTCCCATTCATTATTTGCTAGATTTGGTTTTAGTCAATTTCCATTCCCTATTTATGATTCCTCAGTTTCCTAAAGAGGAAATCCTACATTTATACTTACATAGGCTAGTTAATATGTATGTAGATGTTTTAATTTTAAAAGTCTTTTTTTATTTATTTTTTAAATGTATGTAGACAATAGATGTGCTGCTTGTATGAATTGTAGAAATGTATGTCTTTGAAAAAAAATGAAATAAAACTAATATTTACATCTACACCATAAACCTATATTTTGTTTATAAAAAAAAGATGTATATTTTTAGAAATAAGGAAGTTTTGGGGATATTGCTGGAAATTGAATTGAGACTTTTTAGCAATATAATGAGAATAAAATTATCACAAGCTTATTTCTAAAAGGAATATCCAAACGTAAATATAAATGAGTACAAAGTAATGGAAATGACAAATGTTGGAAAATAATGGAGGAAATAATGCAGATTTCAAATGACAATGCAGAATACACCAAGACATTAACCAAAATAGTTCCACGTCTGTCTTTAACTGAGCTGTAAATCATATATGTCAGTGTGTAACATATGTTTGTCCCCCAAAGACAATTGAAATAGCACCTTATTAATCTAATAGAGTTAATGGTTTCACCAATTAATTTCATCTTATTTTTGAGGCACCAGAAATTGCTGAGAGAGTGAGAAATCGGAGGAAAATATTTTTTACAGATGCGGATGTGTAGTCCTGAATTAATTCACCATTTTAATTTGATTGGCAAATACTCTTCTTGGATAGTGATATTTGAATTATGATGTAAGAATTTAATGTTAGTATGCTGGTGAACGTCAGAGAAAACGGGTCATTAATAAACAAATTGCAATTGCACTGAAGTAACAAAAATATGCCAAATATGGTGCTACACTAAAGGACGGTCCATATAAGGTATATTTCACTTAACACGGACAGTTATGGACATTGATCCGGATTTCTATTTCACAAGGTTTGTACCGTTACAATAGGCCTAGACTAGTTCATAATGCATTTTCTTATATTTGATCTTAAGCAAAATCAGATTTTAAAGTAAAGGAGAAAACACCTTACCTAACCTTACCTTACTGTGTTTCTGGCACAGTTCATTCATAAAACGCCATTGAGGTTACAATACAACAAATATAGGTAACATACAATCCCGTAAGTTGGCAGTGTTGCCCACGTTTCGCAATTTTTCGAATGCTATCTTCCTTTTTGTGTTAAATCTCCGACAAAATATGAAAGAAGAAAGTTGAATTTCAAACAGTTTTTAATAAGCTATGTTTCCAGTAGGGAGACGAGGGTTTCAAACTTGTAGGGACGTCTCTGTCTTCAATATATTATTTTTTAGAGAGCTTCAATATTTATGGCTATGACATTCACGGTATGTCCGTCGCAATTTGAAATATAAGATACAAATTGCTAGTGCTTGGCAGCAAATACTTATGTTTTCAAAAGCACGCCAATTTTCCCTTGCAACACTCCAATATTTTGGGAAAGTAAATAACCCCATAAACCATATAAAAATGAAAAGTATGGTATTTTCAATTTGAATTAACAAATAAAAAGGCGTCATTAACACACCTAGTACAATGTGCAAATGATTAAAGAAGGACACACGTGTTCAAGTAAATGAAAAGCAATACCTCCAAATATGTGCTTCAATCAGAACGAGATGATACTTAGCTAATGACATTGGCCAATGCTGGTATATCCAATCCAACATGGAAAGTGTTTTCTTAAAACGATTTATTTTATTTATCTGTTTCGCATTACGATCTTTAAAACGGTTGCCTGTGTGTAGAACTCTTGGCGCGGTTACCCTGACCTATGAACAATGTGATTTCAGTCTAAAAACATGCAAATCAGATGATAAACTAACAAAGTATGCACAAAAGATTTTTTCAAAAGAAACAAAAACGAAATCCTAACATCTATATTTGACTATTATAGCATGTGTATGACACTTTATTCCTCTGTGTATTCTTAAAAAACATATCCACCGTTGAAAAATTAATAAGTACAAGCTCAAATAAAGTTTAAAAAAACAGTAAGAGAGTGAGCAATTTATAGTTTGTAAATAACGTGCATATTAGTCTATATTCTTTTTTAAGCCTAAGTTTAAATAGAGCAAACGGGTCATAACTACGACTAAGGAAAACGTGAAGCAATACACCGGAGTTTGAGTTTCATCCACGGACCTTCTACCCTGGGACCTAAGCTCCTGTTCAGTTGGTATCTTTTGTAGGTGTTAAAGGAGTACAGTTTCGTTAAACATTGATTTGCATGGGTTCTGAAGAGTCATTCATGTTTTACTTAGGAGAGCACAATAACCTAACGGATATATTTCACCATGGAGGCAAATAGCAGGCCTGGGGACGTCAACCCCAAACTTCTTACAAAGTCATCTCAAACTTACCTAATGAGATATTATTACTAGGTCAGGTTTATCAGAACAATGGCTTACGACTGAAACTTTCGTAAAATCTACAGAAGCCCTAATAACAGCTCATTCTAAGATGGGCCCTTAGTTATGAAAAACGATAAAAGTAGGTGAAAACGTAAAAATTCTTACATGGTATTGCAAGATGGCTGTGTACAGAGAAGTGTCTAGGGGACCCATCATGAAGACTAAAAAAATGCGGTAAGTTTAAACGTTAAAGTCGGTGGTGAATGCCACCATCAATATTGGAAATCAATCCATCAAAAATGCACTGCAAAAACTGGAGACAACTGTGGACGGACTGGAATAGCATTAGAATGACGCGTGGCCGAGCTCGTAGACATTTAACGGTTGCGTTCTTCTGACACTGACAGGCATTTCGTATGATGTTGCAACGTCTGCATCATGCTCCTTATCCTTATAATCATCAATGTCTTCATCATCTCGGTCCATCAAGAATATTGTACACGTATGAAGGACAGTGTGTTTGTTTACAGAGGATTCAAAAACTAGCTCTCTGTCAACATTCTTTATTCTTGAGTGCCGTCCTCTGCTATTGGGGCCAGGATTAGAATGAAAAATAGAAACTGGGTCAACATAAAGATACGAAATTTAGCCCCGGGGAAAGTTGGTTGAGATGAGTGCATCCTTTGAGTAATTGTCCATTTTCTAGATTTATACAAAGTATAAACAACTAAGCTAAGTCATCCTTGGTCTAATGTTAATTTGATTCTTTCCATAGCTACTGTAGCTCGGTGAAGCCAAATATTGAAGGATGAAATTAACTATGCCTTCTTTTGAATTAGTTTGAAAAATATAGAATGCGGACCTAATCCATCGAGGACAATACTTTCTGTTGAAAGGGGTCCAAGCACGAAGCCAACATAGTAGAGTATCCAGTCTTGCTTGCCCCCCCCCCCCCTATCTACTTAGAATTTACAATACTGTTAAGGTGGGAGGTCAAGGTCTTGAAGCAAGAGTAGTTGTCAGATTAACACGGAGGGCATGGATATCATTTCAGATTGCAACTCCTGGTCATGATGGTGTAATAACATGCAGTATATTCAACCTAATATTTATTTATTTTGTTCTGTCTTTTTGCAAAAAATCAAAATTGTTACTTAAAAAACATGAAAAGTCACATAACAAAGTCTTTGAATTGTTCCTTGTAGTTTTTTTTCAAATATTGATTTTTTAAATACATGTTTTTTTTGTTTTACATCACCGATATCTGAATCATGTGAGGAGAAATGTTATTGGTTTCACCTCGTCAAAGCAATCAGCAATCACGTTCATCGGTCGAAAAAATAAATTACTTTTGCTTGGGATTCTTCGCATCATTCACACGGTCCTCAATTAGTGTTTCCTAACCACATTGAACCAAAGGTCAGGGTCTGTGTTTTTTGTACAATAGGTACTATACTTTATTCATTTCCACAATTTTGGCATGATCAAGGAAGTTAATATTTCATTCAGGGTTATTGGCTTAGTTTTATCCAGGGTGGGCCAAAAACGCGGTCCATATTTTTTATTCGATGATACCTTTTTCAATGCATGCATATACAAATATTTTTGCCGCAGATGCAAAAATCAATTCTGCAATATCATTGAAATGAGATAAATAAATCTTCTCTTTCTGAATAAGAACTATTAACAGACTCGAGGGTCCTAAATAAAAATACACAGTTTTCAGGAATTTAAAAATACATGTAAAAACTGTAGTTTCAGGAGGATATTCAAAGCAACAACATGTTATGTTTTTGCTTGCACTATTGTAATTTAATTTATCTTTCTAATAAAAAATTTATTGGAAGGGTATTCAGACCAATGGGAAGATTAGGCAGACTGGTTCAACATCAAGAAAACGGAACTGGTAGGTCGAATTCTGGGTGAAAAATGATTTTCTCTTTTTGGCCAGAAATGCATTTTCAAATACGTCCATGATATCTAATTGAAAATATGGACGTTTTTTGACCCAGCCTGTATGTAGGTTTCCAACAAGGAAAGCGCATTTTTAATACCGTCCAAATAATTCCAAATGGACTTACAGAAACCCACGCCTTCAAGAAGACGTATGACATTCACAAGACATGCTCATAACCACAGCGACTAGACTAGACCTTCTCCGCCGGGAGAAAATGGGAGATGCATTAACACGAGCACGCTTATGGGATAATTTCACCAAGCTATCAATCAACAAGAAAATGACAATATACGTTGTGCTTTTAGTACAATCAATCTTAGACGATTCTTGAAGACACCAGTAGGAAGTTCAAGAAATCTTTCTTTAGATTATGTGGCAAATGTCGTCGTTTCCTAGTTACAAGCCCCTGTGACCCCATCTCCCACTTCTTGACTACACAGGTATGAAAACTCACTGGGGTGGTGTGTTGTGGGGGGGGGGGCTATAAGGCTAAGCTAGACTGTTTCGTGGTACTGACCAGCAATCTCTATTTGTAGGGCATTGAGCATCGAGGGGTTAACTAGCGACGCATTGATCCAACCTCACATACCTGATAAAGCGACAAATCATACTCGGTAAGTAAACACCATTGTAAACGTATTTTTAGACCACCCTGTATATTAATACGGGGAAAGATTTATTATGAGTGGAATGACTTTTTATTCAAAAAATCTCATTTAAAAAAACAGAGATTTACAACTTTCCTATACTTCGAAAGATCGTTTTCCATTCATTTCTGCTGGGGACCAGCAAGGATGATACTTACCACTTACTAGAGTTAGTTTTATCCAAAAGGTGGATAAAAAAGTTTGATTTGGAGAAACCTTGATTTCAACTAAAGCGAGTAAACCCTGGATTCCAAGTATTTCGTAATTCCAACTAAACGGTTGTGAACAATTATAAAGAGATTGGCGTAGCTATGATCTTAAAATAGGCACAAATAAAATGCATCCGAGTTAAAGGGGAAAATACTTTCAAAAGGTTTCATTTTCCTGTTTAATTTAAAAACGTACAAAATAATATTTTTCTAAAAATTTGGCGATGCCCAAGAAAGAAATGCTCAAACATCTCTTTATTTTCTCCGTTTCATTGAAAAAAAAACTGATGATTTTCTAAAATTCTAGCGATGCACATGAGGGAAATGCTCAGACATCTCCGAAATAGGAGAAATGTAAAGGAAACGGCCAACAGAGTTCGTTGCAAGATTCAAAAATTAGTTGGTGCAAATTAGAATAGGCGAGCAAGTTTAGACTGAAGGAGGTTCATTACTACATTTGGAGTTCATTTTCACATTTTAGTTAAAGAAACGACTGAGAAAATATATATCTGTAAAAGTTTGGCGAGACTCATAGATATGTTGTGAATCTTGAAGGTGTTAGAGGGACATTGTGATGGAGCGGAGGATGGAACGGGCGACGCGAGGGGGCTTGAAACCTCATTTAAGGTATAAATTGGAGGGGTTCAGATCTGAAATCTTAACTTCGTGCCCATTAGTAGCTAGCTTTTCATTTCGATCTTTCTTCATTCTAGATTTTGAACATTAAAGTACCATGTAAACACTTGCAATGTCAGATCGTCCTAAATTCTCCATGTCACGGCAAAATAATGTTTTATACTACTATCCTTCGACAAACAAACTCAATGTGTAGGTACATAAATCTTTCAATCTGATGTAAGGTAAAAATACATTATCACACAGGTAAGATGATACCGTAGGCTTTTTAATACTAACTGATACACAATGAAACTTGTGTAAAGCGAATTCCTATGGTGTGTTTATGATAATAGATAGGCATGTGTTTATTGTGCTCAGAGGTGTTCGGGTTCCCATATGGTAACACCCATTTCAATGGAAAGACGTAATCATTTTCAGAAGAAATGAAAATAGAAAGACAGAGCGACATTGTGTTAATTTTTACACGTTTTACACGCATTTCACTCAAGACATGTGAAAAGATGAAAAATAGAATAGTGACAATTTTACATCAGAATTGATGTCGCCAATAATGACAATAACAGAGTTACGTGTTCTGTGCATGTATTAGCTTCTTGACCCATTCTGATATACTACCTTCTACCATCTATCCCACAGTGATTGAAAATGATTTGCTTTTATTTTGCATTTATTTATTTTTTAATAATTTTCAAACGTGTTCTTCATGTTGATCCATCCATTGTGTAGAAATGTGTGGTATTTTTATGCATGATCTCAACTCATAATACATGGCCATAACCCCTTATGCATAACTTTGAAGGTATACCACCTTGGACATCCAGAGATCAGAAAGATCTTAGTATCTTGTCCATTTTAGGTAGGAAGACCGTTTTCGCCAGAACGTGCAGACTGCCACTTTCAGGCAGCAAAAATTATATGGTAACGTTATTCAATATCATTGATTGACATTGAATATATGGGACTTCAAAAAATCAAACTGAAGCCCTCTGCAGACTTTTTTCACACAATGAACGATATTTCTATTGTAAAAAGTACTCTTAAGTAGTAGGAGGATTTATACGTGTCACATGATGGTACGTGACATATTTCATGATCAATGTGACAAAACAGATTTTTATGATATAAAGTACCAAATACGTGCCACTTGTAACAGATCAAAGGTGATTCTCATATATCTTTATTTATTGATAGGTTTAATTGTGAGTAATTAAAAAACAGTATAATTATAACATATTTGCAGTTTGACCAGACGTGCGATGTCTGACCAATGACCAGATGCGGCAAAGTCACCAAAAAGATAAGGCCATTGTTTTTTAAGGAATCATAAATGGGGATTGCCCTTGGGTAGACAATGGGAATATTTGTACATCGATAGACGTACCGACAAAACTCTTGTCAAAAGGAACTCCCATTCAGATATGGCCAGGTCAATGTGACAAAACAATAACCAAATGCGGCAATCATATTATTGATACGTTTTAATATGTTATCATGACCATTTTGTACACTCATATTTTCTCAATCAAATGTCATGTCATTGAACTCTTGATCCAAGCATTCATATCATGGGTCTTTCATTCAACTAGTACTCAAGTTTCATTCGGGTCACGTTCGAAAATTTGCCGGAGCACTTCTTTCGCATTCCCTGGGTCAGGCATTCAGGTTCAAATCTCCCATGCATTGGTTTATCTTGTACGTCTAAGTCTTGTACGTGGATCAGGTATCCACTCCACTGTACCATGTCCACTGCCACAGCCTCGGTTGAAGCCTCATATTCCTCGGGTCATGCATTTAGTGTCGGGGGTCGAGCTAAGGTTCTGAGAGCAGTTGGTCGAATTGGCACCCTTTGCATATTCGTTCGACTTCACTTCTTAAAAGAGAGCTTCGTCTTCCTAGTTTATAACTAGACTCTGCGCGCAGGGTATCGAAATGGCATTACAGACCAGTTGCCATGTTATTTTCCTTAACTTACTGAAAAAATCAACCAGTCCATTTCAAAAGTCTGGCAATGACCAGTGGACTGGTCCTTAGCTCAAGCCCTGTATAGCATAGTGTACGTTACCCGAAGCATTCGATATCACACCCTCTGGTCAAGCTTCATACTCCCTCGGGTCAAGCATTTAGTGTACGTCTCCCGGGGTCAGGCATTCGGTGTCACATCGATCAAACGAGTCACGTTCTTTTCATCAAAGTATACCTCATTGACATAAAAAGCTCTAATCAGCTGATTTTGTAATTGGAAATAGTGTATGATTATCTGACTATCTCATGTAAAACAATTACGATAAGACATTAAGAGGTCGTCATAACATGTCACGTACACTACATGTCTCACGTATCAATTTAGCAGTACAGCTTAATCTTTATCAGAAATGCACTCATGACATGACGGGGTCAAAAAGATCGAACTTAAACTAAATTGTTATGTAAAAAACGTGTGCATTTTTGACAAGTCAATTATCTTGCACTTTGCTATTGTTATTAGACTGTACTGAGGAATCTGAGATATTGGAACAATTAAAGGTGCAACAATTAATGCAGGGGGGTCATTCAATGATTATCGACCAGTCTCAAAATATATTTAAGTTTGGATATTTCATAAAGACTAACACATATTTTCATTATCTACAAAGAAACCCCCTGGATGAAAATTACTTCAGCTGATATTCCTTTTGAAATGTGGTGGATCTTAAAAATCTATAAGTGGGACTCCCTTTATAGAAGCTTTGAACTGAATTTACACTTCTTAATGCTGAAATTGATAGTTTATACATACATTTTAAGAAAATAGTTATGTCAAAGAAGATTTTAAGCCAAATATTGACCTGATAGCTCAGAATAAATAACAATTTTCGAATTTTCTCTCTTAAAGTCCTTGTTGCCCCTTTAACTAACCAATAAGTGAAATGCCATCGTATTTTCCAAATCTAAAAATAACATCTTAGTTTTAGAATTTCAATTTTTTCAACTTCGGACAAAGGAGAATTTTAATTTCTATCGCCTGATTTCGGATCTCGGACTACTTCATTAAACGATGTAGTAATTGAAGATTTAAAGCCAGAAATGACGAGTAAGCTAATAGGAACGAGGCAAAATTCAACAAGCAAAATGTCAATACCTGCCCTTTGTTACAGACGCATAGCGCCGACCGCAGAACACTAGCCGCAGAACGCCGTCCACAAAAAAAGTTGGAGATAACAATTTATTATCACCACATAAAAAATCAGGTACTTTTTTGGAAATACTATTTAAGAAATGCACATTATCTCTGCATACCCCCTGAAAATACTGTAACAATAGAAACGATGCCAATCATGCATTATGTGAACCTACAGTACATGTAAAATCTAAGATGGATACGCAACTAGTGTTATTTGACACATTTCAATAAATCACAATTCACTTTAAAGGGGCAACAAGGACTGTAGAGAGAAAATAGGAAAATTTTAACTTTTTCTGAGCTATCAAGGCAACATTTGGCTTAACATCTTCTTTGACATACCTATTTTCTTAAAATGTATGGATAAACTATCAATTTCAGCATTAAGAAGTGTAAATTCAGTTCAAAGCTTCAAAAAGGGGAAATCCACTTTTATAATTTTAAGATCCACCGTGTTTCAAGAGAAATATCAGCTGAAATAATGTTTATCTAGGGGGATTATTTGTAGATAATAAAAACAGATGTTAGTCTTGATGAAATATTCCAACTTAAATATATTTTGATACTGGTCCATGAACGTTGAATGGCCCCTCTGCACTAATTGTTGCAACTTTAAGGCAGGAAATTCGCATGTACTAAAACATTATAACTGGAATTTATGTTTATTAATATAATTGATATCAGTATATTGAAGGTCCTTAGGCCAAACTATAAAGTGGAATTCAATCTTGGACACGTACAATAAAATAGTTACTTTCAAAATGTGTCAGACCTAATGAAATTGAAGATCCAACTGACGTTAATACGTATCTGAACTTAATCATCATCTTACGTCACTTGGTATGTCTCAATAATTCTCCACGGTGTATCAGGGGCCTACCACGCCATTCCCTTAGCCCTTCGGCCATCATCATATGAGAGCATCATTAAATGACGCTATATTGTCTGTAATATCATTC